TGTCACCATAAACGAGGACGCAACAGTTGAGTCTCCACGAGCTGTCTGAGACTGAGGTGCCACGTATTCGACTTGCACCGTTCTCCTCTTTGCATCTCTGTGTTGTTTTGCCTTTTCATCATCCAGCGAGATTTTGGCCGCCTGATGGCTAAGGCTTCCCATCGGAGAAACATTGCTATGATGGTGGTGGCTTTTAGGTTCTCTTACAGATGCGCTGCGGGCAAGCGATGGAGTTTCTTGTTGGTCTTCTATTAGAAGAACATTTTAGTGATAAAACCTTTCGAAAGTGACGACCAAGAGCATGAGAGTCTCTTTTGTTTTGCTTGATCTGGAAATTAAGAACTCACCAGCAGGAACAGTGGTATTGGCAATATCAGCCACATTTGTAGTATTACTCGTAATATGAGAAATAATATGCGCATATTCCGAAAGCCAGCTATGCCGTGCGACTTCGAAGAGATCGGCCCGTTTTCGAGGATCTGGCACGAGGATGCGGCGTAATAAATCTCGCGCATGAGGTGTGACGTATTCGGGAAAAGTGAGTGGTGTAGTGACGATGTATTTGTAGAGCAGATTGATGTTATCACCCTCTGGGTTTGCAGGATCATCATCAAATGGAAGATAACCGGCAAGCATAGCATACTGAAACAACACAATGTTAGCACAGGCAAAACAAAGTGTAGTTGTATAGGGATATTCAATCGCACCAATATAACCCCACAACTCCAGACATCAACTTTACGCCCAGTGTACAATGAATCAGTAACGACCAGCTCTGGAGCCGCATAGCAGGGGCTGCCACAGCTAGTCTGCATTAGATCACCGCGCCTAAGGCCCTTCGCATTGGGCCGGTCTAGTTTCATCCTCCTCACGAAATCCCTATTGGTCAGATTATATTCAATTTCTTCACCCAGTTCATCGGACGGGTCGAACGTGTTTGCGAATCCAAAATCGGTAATGATGATATTCCGGTTGCGATCGAGCATTAAGTTCTCCAGCTTGAGATCGCGGTGAACAATTCCCTTCTTGTGCAAATAGCCTACGCCGGAAACTAGTTGGGCAAATAGGCGACGAGCAGGGTTGTCCTTTAGATACCGGTGGTTGAGGATGTAGTCGAACAATTCACCTCCAGACGCATACTCCAAAACAATGCCAATATGTCGGTCTGTCTCAGCCATCTCGTGTAGTCGCACAATATTTGGATGTGAGAGTTCTTTCAAAATCGAGATTTCGCGATAGATTTTCGGGAGGCGACTCGGGTTGTTTCCGAGACTCTCCCTTCGCAGCAACTTGATCGCAACTTGCACGCTACCGTCTTTTTTCCAGCCGAGTCTAACTTTTCCAAACTCACCTTCGCCAATGGTTTGACCAAGGACATAGTCACCAAACGTTGTCTCTTTCCGCCTTGAGGAATTTGAATAGTCATGCCGGCTTCGAGCCCCTCGTCCGCCATCATCAACACCCTCACTGCTAACAAGTCCCAATCCGGATACGGGTTCTCGGTCAGGTTGAGCTTCTGCCTGACGCTCCTTTTCCCGTGCAATATCCACTTGTGGATCTGTTACCACCATGCGATTAATCACCGAGCTTCCTTCCTTATGAATACCAGCTGGAATCGAAGTTGGGCCCATTGTAGCCTCAGAGCGACTCTCCATTGCGGGAGGAGGTGACATGTGGTCTCTGGGTTCTCGTGTGCTTGCAGCTCTTTGTGGACGTTCGGGTGAGTGTGGACCTTTGCGACGCGACTTGGCAGTTGCCGAGCCACCGTTATCTTTCATTCTCTCACGCGCATTTGTTTCACGAGTATGTTCTCGATCTCCGCGGTTCCGTCCGTTGTCTCCCTTTCGTTTGGAATGTTTAGAGTTGCTTACTCGCTCAGTGGAATTGTTCGCAGACTGGTTATTTGACGAGGTGCGACTCCGTTGGTTCGACGAGGTACGAGGAGGGGGAATCGGGGGAGACCCAGGGCCGTCGGACAAAGTGGGTGTAGGGCGGGGACGCGGATTGCTGGGTCCTTGAGCTGTAGGTGGAGTCGCCGGTGAAGGGGAAGCATGGGTCGAAGGGGGCAAGGCAAGGTGCTGGGGGGTATTCATTGTCGAGGTGACGGTAGATGGAGGAGAATAGAACTGGTCAGGGCTAACCGGTACGCTGGGGTGAGCAGCATTGTCGCCGTGCTGTCTACTTGAATGTCGTTGCCCAACTGGTGTTTGTTGGACTGGCGGCGGTCTGGAAGGTCCCGTTGGTGCATATTGGCTGGGTGACTGAGCGGTGCTATGCTGGGAAGCGATCTGCGTAGCAGACGACATGCCTTCCCTGAGAAAGAAAGCAGCCAGAAGATGGACAGTGGGGATTCAATCTTCCATGTACCAGCAGTCGATTTTGACTGGACCACAATCCAGCTGGCTTTCGCAATTGATTCTTACTCGAAAAAAAAAAAAATGAATGAGTGTTTGGGTGGTTCAAGCGATGAACATTTGTCCACAGAGACACCGCACACGCGATATTGGTTTACCCACTGCTACGGCGCACAAATCGCCAGCAGTCCAAAAGCATCTAATAGAAATTAATATACACAAGACAAAGCTTGCCTTCTCTCGATGGATTCTTGAGCGAATTGATATCGCAAGATCAGTTGACAATTGGTAGTGTGAGTGGTGGGTTGTGTTGTTTATGGTGTCGGGGGTTGAGCTGGCAGAAGACGCGAAGGGGGTCCAGCTGCACACGGTTGGAGGGGTTTAGAAACCTGATGCGAGTCAAACGACGTAGATTGGCTGAGTTGCAGGACAAAACAAGGGCGCGCCTTTTGCGCTTTGAAGAAACAAAAAGAAGGAAAGGCGGCTAGCAACGCGTGTTTTGTGCGGTGTGTTTCTGCTTGACCGTTGACCGACAACAAGAGACCGCCGCAACCAGACAAAAGAAGTTGTTGAAAATCTGTTTGCTGCTGTTTGGTGCGTGTGCGCCCGGGGCAAACGTGCCTTCCGCCGCGGATGTGCTACTTCCACTCCCGATTTGTTGGGCGCGGCTTTGCAGTATTAGGATTAAGGTGCAGCAGGAACAAGAGTATTTCGGTGTATAGCAATAGCAGTATGTAGCGTAGTGGCAGTGGCAGTGGGAGCGGGGATCTGTAGTAGGGAGTGGTGAGGAGTTGCCGCAGCAAGCATCAGCATCAGCAGCAGCAGTGGCTACAGAACGGCGTGTCGTGGACCCAGCGCGAAATCAGCGGCAGACAATTGATGGATGTTGAGTGTTGTTGATCGATGGTATGCGGGTGGAGCCGCTGACTGATGTGATGGGAGTGAACGGATCAGGATGTATGGAAGGAGGGGCAAGGCCGGGACGGGAGGGGACGAGACGAGACGAGACGATGGAATAAATTAAGTAAACGGGTTCAACGACGCGGACGTGACGATTGGAATCCAGCGACCAGCTTCTTGGAGGAGCGAGGGATTGTCGAATGTACGATTGGATGTCCAGTCGACCAAAACGGCATGATCGACAGAAGGACCAAGGGTAGAGAGAGCAAGAGGCGTATGGATTAAAAAAAGAGTGGGGGGGATAGATCTAGTGAAGCCGACCGGGCGGCCTGGTCTTGAGGGGAGGTTTGCTTTAAATAATTGACACACCTAGGGTGGAAGAAAAGGAGTGAGAGTGGTGGGAGAGAAGGGATGAGAGGGAATGAAAGCGTTGGGGGAGGTTGGTGGGGGGGTGGGTTAAGGGAGAGATTGGGAGAGAAAGAAAAAGGAGAAAGAGGAGGAGAAGAGGAGAGGTGAAACGAGGGTGGAGAAGAGAGAGACGAGGAGTGAGATGGGAGAGGGAGAGGGGGAGGGGGAGAGAGAGAAGGGAGGGAGGGAGAGGAGAGGGAGAGGAGAGGGAGAGGAGGGAGTGGTGGGAAAAGTGGAGGAGGCTTAGTGTTGCGGAATTGAGGAATTGAAATGAGGGAATGAGAAGACTGAGAACAAACAACAGAGCGGACAGGCAGGCTAATGAGGACTAGCACAGAGGGGATTCAACCAAGCAACGACCTAGTAAGAAACTAACTGTGGATACCACACGAGAGAGAACGCGAGAGAGAGAGAGAGAGAGAGAGAGAGAGAGAGAGAGAGAGAGAGAGAGAGAGAGAAGAGATATGAGATTGAAGGGATGAACCGAGTTGAGGATATCATTATCTGGTTCAGGTTAATGTCTGATGTATGAGAGTGACATGGCAGACTAAAGTAGTTATTAACTAATAATAATTAAGCAGTCAACTGGTTAGTTAGTTAACCGGTTGATGATAATAACACTTTTATCAACAGTTCAATAATAGCAAATATCTAACGAGGCCAGCGACCGCATCTACAACCGTGTCCAGAGCACAACCACCCATCAATTGCAATCTGACGTTCTTCTTATTATTACTCTCAATGGATCCAAAGTTTAGAGCCAGGGGAAATAACTCGCGACCAACTGGTGAAAACTAAATAAGTTAGTTAACTGCTCAGTAACTAACTAGTTGGTTAACTAGTTATTGATACATTAAATAATGTTCTCAGTTACAGCCACCCCGATCTGGTTCTAGCGTCCTTTATGTTCTCTTGCTGCTTTTGATGGGTCTCCCGGCCTGGGGAGTTCCGCCCATCCACTCTCTCAATCGTCTTGATGGTTTTCACTTTTCTTTCCGCTTCCTCCCACTTCACTTTTGTTTTCCACTCGGGAATCTACTTGGGATAATTCACCTGGAGTTCTCCCCAAGCTCACCCGCCCGTTACCCTCCATGCTCCCCCTCCCCAGCGGAGTCAAATCCCGTGTCGCTGAGGCCGCCTCTCATTTACACACACGCTGCACTGCCGACGTCATCCTAGCTTCTGGCCTCCTGCGCTGGCTTTTTCAACCAGTCATCTCCTCAGTCAATCCCTTCAAAGTGACGAGAATCCCGCAAAAGTTCCTAAGCTCTGTCAATTCCTGCTCATATCTTTACTTTAACTCTTTTGACAGCTGTGCCGAATGATCCCGTCAGTCCCTCAAAGAGTTTTGAGCTCTGTGGGCCATTTGGGTTTTGTCTTCCAAGCAACCTCAACCCTTTCTATGCAATCTGCAATGGCAGGTCGATGGATGTCGGGGACTTGTCTCCAGTGCTCAGGGAGTTGACTGATTTCAGCTTTAATGCGGCCCTTTATCTGACGCAGGCACGGACGCCATGTCTGACACAGGCTACGTCCCTTGTACTTTCGCGTAACCATTTCGTGGTGCATTTTTCTGAAAGTGCTCGCAAAGTCTTGCCATTCGTTAACCACACCTTTCAGATGCTCCTTTATCTCCATATAACGAATCTCACAGAGCCCTTCAAACTTCTCATTCAGTTTATGGCGACGTTTGATATTCCGGTATTCTTAGCTAACCGCTTGACTCTCCCTCTGGGCGACGACGGCGGCTTAGAGGAGGCTTTTCAATGTTGCAGGTGACTTTATATTCCGGAATTTAGGTACTCTTGGCTCGTCGGTGGAGGCGGTAAATCAGCCTGTCCTTGCTAATATATATATATATGCATGGGCTTCGTTCCTAAGGTCCCACGCCGTGGAAAATTATCACGGAGAGGCATGAATTGCTGTCAGGAACAAATTAGACCCGCGTTGCGAGCATCACCGCGGTAGCAACCAGTCTATTCTTGTCAGCGAAGCCTGTTCATACACAAAACGAAAGTATGGCTATATGTGAGGAATCCTGGCATGCAAGCTTGGGGACGGAGGATAGGAACGGTTCAAATAGAGAGAGGGTGGGGTTTTTATTTATTTATTATTTTATATCCCAGACATGGGTTAAAGGCAAAATTCATCCCTTCACCTGACCTCTCGATGGAACTGCTCTCCTCTGCACTCATCTCCAGCTGACAGATTGGAAATCGAATCCGACGGTCTCCCAAACTCCTCTCCCACATGCTCAGAACAGCTGTATCGCCATCAAAAGCAAATCCCACAAGCTGCCTAGACCTTTGCCAAGAACCTCCTTCACTGCCACTCCAGAGAGTTTAATAAAAGAAGCCCCCCGCCTGAAAATCACCGCTCGCGTAGCTAGTTACCTATTTGAGGTTCAAGGACTTGGGTTATCTCTTAACATTCTTATCCTCACCATAACGTTACAAATCAACAATGTCTCCCTAGCTTCAACCTCCCTATCTCAAATCTTTCAACCTTCATGCTTTACTCGGTTCTACTAGTTATCGAATTCCAAGTCTAGTCTTGATGAAAATCTGCTTCCGGTCGTGTACCAAGTCCTTAGGGCGTTTCTCTCCACTCTTTCATGTCACATAAATGCCTAGCCTAATTTTTCACAGCCTATATAGTTCTAGTCAAAGTGTTACCGATATATGCATGCTGAAGGCCTGATTTGTGTTGTCAAAGTGTCTTGGAACTTTGGGGCAAAAAAAAAAAAAAAAAGAAAAAAGAAAAAAAAAGAAAAAAACCATATGCCTCATCCAAACCAGGGTTCTCCCCCGGCTGGCTGCTTTGCCCTTGCAGTCGTTTTCAAGCAGGGAGACCAAACGAGAGCCGGAGATGTAGGACAAGGAGTATGGATGCCCGCTGAGTTTTGCAATTGCTGTCTCTCACCGGCATACGCCCTTGTACACCAACTCCCAATTGGCGCACGGGAACTGATAGACATCATCTTTGCCGCCGCTGCTTCCTCTCTCAAGGACCCACACATCTCCCTCTCGCCCTTTGACCACAATCCAAATGTACTGCGGTGGTCAGCAACTCGTAGATGTAGGAATCTTCCATCGATGCAATCTGTTCTAGTTGAATCACCCAATGTCATGTGCGATTAGCCCTCGTGCTTCAACGAATAGAATATTTTTTTTATTATTTTATTTTTATTTTTATTTTTTTTTTTGTTGGAGGCGCTGAAAAGTGTCATGAAATCACGAGGGGTATGGTGTGGTGGTTCTTGAGAATGATCCAGGCCCAATGCAACGCGCTTGGTGTTGTTAGCAAAACTGTTTATTCCCAACCGACCGGCAGCCTCATGCCCCTTCAAACTCCGCTGCCAGTCTCAGGGTCTGGCGGCGGCGGCGGTGGGTTGCGGAACACAGACGCCTGCTTTCCCTTTCCCTTGGACCATCTGGGAATCTCGGCAAGTCGCTGCTCATCGCTGTTAACCGGGCCTGAAATGGCCAACTTCAGTGCCAGCTCCGGTAAAAGCGGCCCCGCTCGCTGCCTGATCGGGGAGGTGGTCCGTGCGGGCACCCCCGGACGATACGACGACGATACATACATACATACATACGGCCTAAAGCAGCACCGGAAGATGTGAACAGCGCATGGATTGTTGTAGTTACGGGCAAACTCTCTGTCAAACGACACATGACCTCACTATGTTAGTTCCCACTTCCTCTTCCTTGTATATATATATATATTAAGGCAGTCGAATGAAGAAAAGGAAGAGACCCTAATGATTGGTATGCCCCGCCCCGTCTTGGGCCGCGCTCTGGCATAGATGATGTGATGATGTATGTAGGTTGATGGGATAAGAACTAAATCATCCACAGCGATTGGCAGAGCTGGGATCCTCGGCGATGCAACCAAAACAATCGACAAAGCAGTCAATGACAGCGTGGCACTGTGGCAAAAGAAAAAGAGAAGAAAAAGAAAAAAAGAAAAAAAGAAAAAAAGAAAAGAAGAAAAAAAGAACGATCACTCAGACTCGACGGCTTACTTTCTACCTTCGCGCTAGGAGCACTTAGCCTTTACTAGCAAGCCATACCTAACATTCCTATCAATTCTTGTTTGGATTTTGAAACTTTCAAGGAGCTTTGGGGGGATTTAAATCGGTAAATAAATAAGTAACCAAACTGCTCTTGTTTTGGGAGAGGATCTCTATTAATAGCAAGCGGCGCCTTTCGTACATAGCTGCATACTGCATGCCCGGATATTGCCACAACGATCAACCTTGCAGCACAAAATTTAGAAGCGTTGAGAGCAAATGTTAACACTAAAGCAAAAAAGGAAGAAAGCGAATCATCAGCCTGCCAATATCTGAAACTGATTGAATAAAATGGCAGTTCTAGTCTATCAATGCCTCACATATGTATATATATATATATATATACATCGATCCACTCGATATAGGTGCTTCAATGCCTGGAACAAAGGCATGATCTGATGGGATCAACATGCATGGCATAGCATAGTTGCCGTTCCGTGAGCCAGAATGAGATCTTCTGCAGACCCTATCCTGGGGTGTTTCATTATGAAACCCTCCAAACGAATCCTCAAGAAAAAGAAAAGAAAAAAATCCCACGATTGCACGGAGAAACGTTTCTCGCGCGCTTGCAACCAGAAATGCTACCCTGCCAATCTCATTTATTTTTTTCTTTTACAAAACGCCAGAATCCAATTGTCAGAGACAGGAGAGGGGGAGTAAAGCGTGCATTGACATTGGCCGGGTTGGACATCATTTTTTAATCTGGAGATCTTGGAACTAGTCAATTCGAAAACGACGGTTAATTTAATAAGGTTGGTTTCTACCATTTAGGTATGAAGCTATCTCGAGAGCTGCACAGAGATTAGTCACCCTTCAAAGCTGCAAAAGACCTTCAAGCCTGGTAGTTATGCTACAGACACACAAAAGGTAAAAAGCAAAAGTAAAAAAGAAAATGAAACACAAAAGAAATTGAACATTTCGATGAACGCAGGTTCCTTTAAAACTCAAATCTGATGTTTACCATTTTGCTCCGGCTCAGACGGGCTGCTTTCATCTCTTGGGTTGTTCTAGTTAGTTAGCTACCAGGCGGTTTCTGTCGTTCGTTCGAATTTAACCCATTATGAGATTTGAGCCCGCAATAACTCGTCACGGATGCATGACTCCCGCTGGCGTCTTTTACGGATTTTAAATTAATGAAGTTCCCATCATTTTGACATGGTTTCACTGCCTCTCGGGTGGGAAAAACTAACCAATTAGTGAGTGAGTCGTCAAACAGGTGGGAGTGCACATCTTACATCCTCATGGCTAGTCGGTTGATGAATATACGTCTTGATGTTTGCTGTCAATGGAGTGTGCAATGCAATCAGACATCGAGCCGCAAGGGATTAAGGAATTGGTTTTTCGGGAAGTGTGTAAGTGATGGGGTTAAACCCGGGAGAGCTGGACAAGAGTGTGAGCTGAGTCCAATAGAAGTTTACAGAATATAGTTATATGGCGCATCAATAGAAAAGACATGCTTTGCATGCTTTGCTTTGATGCATGTTGCTGTGTCTCAAATAGTTAACTACTACAGCCCATTTTATTTTCCATTCCAGGGAGTTTTCAACAGCGCGGTTCCTAGAATTCATATCATGTATTGTAGTTATACCCTCTCCATTCCATTCAGTTGTCAAGGATAACCGGTTATTTTGGTAGTTGCTCTCCGATTATCATGAAATGCTCTGTATGATCTTTTCATTGTAGTTGTCTCAGAGCAAGTCCAGCACAGGAAGAGAAAAGAAACCAGCAGTTGAAATAGCAATGGAGGGCCATGGAGGCGCTAATCTTTTCTCGGCCCGAAGCTCAAGCTGGGACTGCGCGGTAACTCTATGCCTCCGTACATAGCTGAACATGCAACATATCATGTGCAGTTGTAGAACACAAGTGGATCGAATGAGATACAATCAGATCTCCATTGAAACCCTTGAATCTCCCAAAAGATTCACTTCGTCGCAGTGGGATAGAGCATTGGGGTATTTCCGAACTCTCTGGCAATCTCCATTGGGGAATGGTAATATCCTCCTCGCCTTCAAAGCGGGATTGTATTAACCGTCCTTAGATGAAAGGATAACAACAAGGGGGTGTAAAGAGCTTGTAAATGAAGGAAACGAACAGAAAAGAGGCCAGCAAAAGTATCCTCTTATCAAATTAAACTATATGCATAAACCTGAATATAAGTTATATCTTGATGCGAACATCAATATCATTTAGTACATTTTGCAGCTTACTCATTATCTTCGTCCTCATCACTGTCACTGCTATCATCACCACTAGTTCCATTTCCCCTCCGCAACCTGGTCTTTTCCTCCTCTTCCAAAATCGCTGTCACCTCAAAAGACTGCTCGTCCAGCGTTGACATCCATGCCTTTACCTCGTCAGTCATCGTAACCCTATCGCGGTCCCCTTCCTCAGCATCGCCATCCACATCTGTGAACGGATGAACCGCACCCATTTTCTGCTGGATAGCCGACACACGCCTCACCAGCTCGTTCGCATCCTGCAAGCTGACGAGGATCCTCTTCTTGTCTGATTTCGCTGAAGCATTGCGCAGCAACTGCACGATTTTACTTTGGCTGCACTTCTTCCACGAAATGGTTGGTTCATCATCTATCGAATCAAAGGTGCTGAACGGGCTGGACTTGAACTTGGTGTCTGGTCTGTAAGGATCATTAAGATTTTGGTAAATAATAGGAGTTCCTCCGTAGTACCTGTAATTTTCGCGGTTGATTTTCAAGGTTGTAGCGTTAAGGGTTTGGATTAGGTAACTTATGAGCTTGTTCTCCGCAATCTCTAAGGGAGTGATTCCTGTGGCGTTTTCCAGATTGGCAAGACTGGAATCCCTCTTTAACATAACTCGAAGATACTCGATGTTCTGAATTCTGGTAACTTGATGAATTGGATAGTTTCCTTCTTCGTCAAGGATATAGAGCTCCTTTCCGCCAGTAATGTCCAGTATTGCTTCCAGCGTATCTGTCGTGATCTTGTGCGACTTTTGAAGCCACTCTGACAATGGACTCCGCCTACCCCATTCGACATAACTTAGTGATCTTGCAGACTGTAAACGAGATCTTTGTACTGCAAGGGTTGAGAGGACTCCAGGATCTAAGATACCACTCAGCACCCTAACGATTTCAGCAGAGTGATTGGCGGAGGAAGGACGTGAAACGAGAATGTAATGAAGCATGTTACGGCCATCATTGTCCCGAGCGGTTTGGTCTGCTCCAGCCTCAACAAGGGCCCTGGCGGCCATAATCCTCTGACCAGCAAATGCCAGATGCAGTGGTGTGAGACCATCAGCATTCCTCGTGTGCAAGGAGTCTGGAAACCGTTGGAGGATGAAGTGAACGAGAGAATTGCCAAGTTCCTCAGTTGGTGCGGCCATTACAGCACAGTGGAGAGCCAAATTTCCTGATGGCGGTTGTTAGTTCATGAACGGTGATTCTCATAGAAGAGGAAGGGAAAGAACAACTGCGTAACTCACGTCGAGCACCCAGCCAGGATGTTATCATCGCCTCAAATCCACTCTCTTCTTGGAAAAGGGGCGCCAGGCGACTGTCGTCTCTGAAAGTGTGTAGAAATTCCCTATACTTCTTTTCGGGCTCATCGCTAAGGAACCACTTAACAGACTCAAGATTCTTCAACGTAATGGCGAGCAAAAGAAGTGAGTCGGAGCTTTGTAACGAGCGTCCATAAGGGTATACGTTTTCGGTCGCCCAATCTTCACGTTTCCTCCCGTACACAGAGAGGCCTCGATAATACTTGGGGGTTATTTGTTAGGAAAGTTGCGCTCATTTAGCTGACAATTAACCATGGCCAATTACATACCTTATGTTTAGTTTTCAATTTGACACCAGCTTCCTCCATCAGAGCCTGAAATGGCAATCCAATCCCCGTTTTCGACATGAAAAAACCTAACATCTCGGTTTTGCCATTCTTCACAGCTAGTTTGAATATATCAAAGCTAACCGTGATAAACTTGTGACAGTCACCGTCGTTAGATTTACTCTTGATAAGGTAGTGTGTTTGCTGCTCGACTAAAAATTTGACTGCTGCCATGTCATTTTGCCGGACAGCAAACTCGAGTAGAGACATGCCCTGGATTGCGAAAGATGCCTTCATAGTTTGTGTGGCCCAATACTGTAGACAACGAGGCGAGAAGGTCAGTATAACAAAAGATCCAAAACAATTTATGAAATTAAAAGCAGGCTAAAAGCATGACTGCTTACAGTATGATCCCGAGTCCAGCTCCCTACAATGTTGGACAAGCGTTTGCGTTCGCTTTTCTCAAATTCCGTATCTCCACCTCCCAGGAATAGAGACATATCTCGGCTTCGAGTGAGAAGGTAAAAGGGGGAAGTCGTGTATTTACCGGCGTTCATGGTATCTCGAACATCATCCATGGTTTGCTGGTCGTTAACAACGTTGAAACGCACACCGACCCCATCATTATCCGAGTCATCATCAGTTTCGCCGCTGGAACTGTAATCATTAACGTTAGAGTCAACAACAACTTCGTATACTTTACGGCTTGACTTTTTGGTATCTGGTTGGACTTGTTGAGCCTCAACATCTTGAAGAATGGACCTAGCCAGCTCGAAGTGGCCCCGAGCCACAGCAATAGCGAATGGGTCAAAGAGCCGCACTTTGTGCATTGCCGTAAGCTGAAGCGACGATGACGATTTATTCGGAGCCTGTGGCTCGGTGGTAAGTTGCTTGACTCTCGCGAGATCACCATCCCATGCGGCTTGGAACCTGTTTTCCAATAATTAGAGAGTAAACGACATCATAGAGTGATAGTATGGGAGGGCAGAACCACATGAAGGAAGGGAGAGGAGAAAAAAAGAAGGGAAGAAGGAGATAAACCTACAGTGGAAGATACTGTTTCGTATCCAGATCTCCAACATCTTGATCTGTAAAGGTATAATCGATTTCAAACTTCTTCAATGTTGTTTCATCAAGAACTAAAGGCATTCCGTCCCTCCCATGTTGAACATGAGCAGTGCCATCACGTGTAGGGTGCAATTCTGCAAAGGTTTTGCCACCTTTTTCTTTCAAGGCTTGTTCGACTTTCTCTAGAGCCTCGATTTCACGTTTGATCCAGTCAGCCTTCCGCTTCTCTTGTTGTTCAGCTTTCGTAAATCTTTCGCTGTTCAACTCATTTTCGATTATCTCAACTGCAATTTTGGCCATGGCGAGCTCCTTCTGGACGAAGGAATATTCAAATGTCCCTTCCACCAGACCATCCAAATAAACCGCGTCCGATTCAAACTCTGCATTTAGAGATGTGATGGGTTTACTGCGATGCTGAATCAATGGCTTCAGGAAATCCTTTCGCGCGCCAATAACATCAAGAACAGTCCGACCATTGTTAGAGCTTCCAAAATCTGAATCAAGTAATGCGTACGTATCTGTCGTCATTGCGTTAGGATCTGCCCCGGCATCCAAGAGCTTTCCGACCACCACAGGTGTTGCAAATTCAGCCGCTTTAACAATCGGTTGAACCATACAAGCCTCAACCTTCATAATCTTTCCCTGGCGAGCCCAAAAACGTCGGTGACGTTCAGTGGGCACGGATAGAGTGCCGCCGTTGTCCAATAATTTTTCAATCATAGCAATGCCCTTGTGCCTAACCGCTGTCGTCAAAGGTAGTATAGCTCTAGGTCGCCAATCAGTAGTGACAGTCGGGTGATTTATTGCAAGGTGGGCAGCGGGTCCGTCGAATTTGAAAATCGTGTCAAGAAGTCGATATTCTCCAACCATTACAAGAGAATGAAACGCTGTCAGATGTTGCATATCGGCTTGTGTGGAAGAAGCGCCAAGCTCTAGGAGGGTCTGTAATAGAGCCTTGGATACCTTGAAAGGGTGGTGCATTGCAAGGAGCATGGAAAAGAGCACATGAGATTGACTGTACTCCTTCTTTACGAACGGCTGGCTTACATCAACACCAAATTCCGTGGCAAGGCAGTTGACAATATCGACATGGCCATTTAGAATAGCCACATGAAGCGGACTAAGTGGGATATCCCACGAAACAACACCGAGATTATCGTAAAAATTAGGCTCATCTTCCTCGTCGTTCTGTTCTTCCATGGTGACCTTTGAGGGGTCGGTAACAACGACCATTGACCCTTGAGTGGCGGCATAGGGGGACTGTGTGCCGGTTCTCACCATTGAAATGTCGTCAAACTCTCCTTCACCTTCCTCCTCATCGTCGCCATCTGAGGCGGATTCGATATCATGTCCAGCAGTTTCTGGATTTTTATTTGATTTTTCCAGATATTCCACCTGATTTGCCTCGCTTTTCCGAAGAATGGCTCGCAAGATTCTCACATCCCCGCGAGCAGCAGCAAGATGAAGGGAGGTGAATCCGCCAGCGACGCGGCTCACAAGCCGGGCCCCGCGGTTGACGAGGCATTGTACGATTTCGGGGGTGCCGCACATTATTGCTAGATGCAAAGGCATGCGCCCAGTGTAGTCTCGCTGGTTTACATTGAAGTTTTCCTGCGTGCAACACTTTTGAACGTGGGCAATATCTCCCTCCACAATGGCTTTACAGAGACTTTCTGTGTCGTTGACGTACGCGAATTCAGTCCAATCTGAATCCGTTGTAGGATTGAAGCTCCCGATTGTTTGTCTTCCAGGATCATTTTTCATAAATTGGACTTTGCCTGACACGTATTTTTTACCCTCCTGCTCTGAGATGTCCTTCTCCTCGTCTGTAAGCGGAACAGGGCAAAACCCACAGCAATCGTCGATGACGTGCTCTACGCTACCGAAAAACGCAGGGTGCCTATGCAAATCCACAGAACGATCCTTAGGCTTGTTCCACTCAGCATTTAGGAGTAAATCCTTCTTGTAGATTAATTTCTCGATCTGTTAAGAAAGGGATATCAGTGACAAGGCCCCTTGTCAAAAACGTACATGAAAGAAAAAATACCTTCTTGGGGGTGTATTTTGGCCCATACGGAATGGTGAATGTGTGGTAGTTAGAAACATCCTCTTGCTCAACCCATTCTGCAACATCTTCCGGTTGGACTTCTTTCAGGTTTGCTCTGTTGCGATAATAGATCATCCCACCGGCTGGAGGAGGTCTGTCTCGGGCTGCACGGCGCTGTTCAATGTACTTTTCCCTCCCAGCTTGGGTAGGAAATTTCTCCATAACTATGAGTCGGGCGAGGCCAACAATATGATTAAAGCTTCTTTCGAAGATTGTCGGATCAATCTTGGAACGGTCCAGGGCCGGCCAGTGCACCTCAAATCCGCGGTGGGCATATTTGGCAAGGCGGTTTTCATACGAAGGAGAACGCCGGGTGAGGTCGATGGAGTTCGTCTGAGTAGCAAAAGCTGCGATTGCCCGGGGACTGGCCCAAACCTGCGAGCCATCAAATGCGGTGCAGGCACAATCGACATCGAAGCCTGTCAAAATTTCCGAGACGCTTTTATAGAGCCTGAGAACTATCTGGACATGGCGAACTGGATATTTTGAGACAATTGTCAGGGCATTTTTGGATCGAATGACCTGTTTCTGCTGTTAGATATCTTCCATAATAAATAAGAATCTTATGATTGAAATTAATTTTACGTACGCTGACTTCCTCCAAAATATTGTTGCGGACGCATGTCTCAATCTGTTTGATTTTCTCGATAGCCTGTTCTTCGTTAAGCCCATAGAGGAACAGATCGACGTCGGAGGAAGGTGCAATTTTTTCGTGGTAGTATTCTCTGTTAAAAGATCAGAAAAACGCAGTAATCCTCAAAAGGGCATGTCTAAGGTCTATCCACAGATGGCCAAATAATTTCGTTAACATACCTCTGGGCCTTCCGGGAGGAACTGTACTTGTCAGGAACAGGCAACAGGCACGTAGTCACAGCACTTCCAGACGCAACAACATTGCTCCAGTCCATGTCAACCAAGGATAACTCCGAAAACAGTCTGAAATTATCCATGAACTGATTGAACGTCGGAACAATGGCAGGGCCGCCATTCTCTTTCCGTGCTCTGTGAATCAGTGGAAGAATATACTTTTCAGCGTCCGCTGGGCTTTCGTTAAGAAGATCCCGCGCTTTCACCTTAAGGCGTTCGGCTTGACCGTTATAAACGGGGAGAACACTGAGATGAGGGTCCTCAAGGATTTTATCGTCAGGCTCTTGGGCAAAAACCTCACGGAGCTTATACTCATAGGCTTTGAACGGAGCCATCGCACTGCCGGTAAGAACTTCATCACGACTATATTTATCCAGATAGGCTATGAAGTCGTTCAGCGGCACTGGGATAGACGGTAACTCCATGCTTACGGGGGGCGAACACAATATGTCAAATTTCACGAGATCAAAAACTAAGGCGGGAAAAGGGTTTCGGGGACTATTGCTGTCAGAACGAAGTGCTTGGGCAAGAAGACTGTTGCTCAAAGGCCTACAACAATTATAAAAACCGAAAACAACCACGGAATCAGGCTGCCTTTTGAAGTTCACTCAATTGAGTTTGGAAATACGAGACTTTTGAAATGAACAGGCCCCAGTAGGCAACAACCCAGCGCTAACCATCTGTGGTCGAGGGACAAATTAATTAGTCTGAAACGTTGCATAAAATCATAATGGCAACATTGCCAGCAGAAGAGCCGACTTGGGGCTGGCGCCGATTTCCCAAGTATGTCCCATATATGTGCCACTGAGCTCTGTGGTCGAGATGCACGAAAGCGAGGATGACAGATGTGACATGGCTGCCTCCCCCTAGCGAGCATGAAGGGGGTTTCGGGGTCGCGCTGATTTTTCTAGCCCGCAGTTTAATTTCTCCTTTAACTGTAGGGGTTGAAGTTAACAAGGGATCCAAGGAGCCGCCAGACAGCATATCCACTTCCACCTTGACGACAAAAGAGCTGGCGACCACCTCGCTTCATTTTCATTTCCATCGTGTTACTAACTCATGTGGAGCGGTCGTCCAGTTTGACACCCCAAAAGAGTTGAAACCTATTATTCAAGCTTGTCATCGCTGGAACGAGGCCCTCAGCAAGGCAAACAGACAGGAACAATAGAAAGGATATGTCTAGACTGCCCATCCCAACCTGACGGCCTGACCTGGGAACAGGCGATAACTAACTGGCGTTGAAAGAAAGTTTCAAGGTTCCGAGATCTTGTAACAGTTAACTTAACTGCCTACTCGGGACTAGGTAGATTTTGGGGTTGGGGTTGAATTAAGCTTATTTAAATGCATAACTAATCCTGCCGCGGGAAATACGATTGCCAATTAACGTACGGCAGTCACAACCTCTCACGGGCCCAGATGGAATATTTGTGCCCGAAGGGGAAATAGATATACAACTTGGAAACGAAAAATACCTTTTAAATATGTAAAAATACAAACGCTGGCCGGTGACAGACCAGGCTCTGGGACAGTTAAAGAGCACGAAGAAGGTGGAGTATAAATTCAACCCTGATAGCACCACAACACAGATTTCTACCGTGCAGGTATTCCAGGGAAAGGTGTATCTTCTATTAGTTATGCCAATTGCTGCCGTTCCAATATCAAGACACTAATTACAGCAAGCGCCAAAAACGCGGGAAAATATCAAAAAAAAAAAAATAAAATAAAATAAAATGAAATAAAATAAAATAAAAAATAAAAAATAAAAAATAAAAAACAAAAAATAACCCAAATGGAAAGAGCGCGGAATGCAGAAAACAAAAGTCCCCAGGAATCATTCGAAGTACAGCAAGGATCGTGTATCGAAAAAATAAGACCCCCAAAGAGATGTCGCAAACGTCGGAAAAATTAAGATGAAGAAAACTAAAAGAATAAAAAAAAGGAGGTAAGTAAATCAAAGGTCATGAGAAAAAATTAACCAAAAAAAAAAAAAAAAAAAAAAAACCCTTTTTCTGCCCCTACCCGCCCTCAAACTTTTTAACAGTATTAAGTGTTTGATTGCTTGCCATTACGCAATGGCGTGCCGCCCAGCGAGCGCCCAGTCTGCACACCATAGGCAGGTGGTGGGGTAGGAGCGGGGGACGGACCACGAGGATGGTGAGGAGGGTTGACAGCTGTTAAGCCAGATAGGCTTTGGCTACTCCCCGACCCCATGCGGGAGGGAGGAGGTGGAGGCTGCTGCCCAAACATCCCAGGATCATCGCCGCTGACGACAATTTGCTGTCCATCCTTCATGCGACCTACTACCATTCCCTTCGCAACGGATCTGAGAACGGCCTTGCGAGACACGCCCGCAGCATCAATGTAGACCAGGCCGACATTTTTCACCCCGCCAGCTAGGTTGGCGGTGACTCTGCCAGCCTCTTCGCCGTAGCGGTGGCCAACGACTGTGGTTGCGGCATATTGTCCGGAATGCAGGAGATTTTTGGCGCTCTGGTCGATACCGTCTGCGATTGTCGAGAAGGCGATGAGGGACTTATTCAGGATGCCGGGCTTGTAGTCGTAGATTGGCTGGCCATTTTCATCGTAGCCTCTTGGTTTTGAACCTAGGTTCTTGCCCGCGACGGAGGCACCCAAGTTCTGCGCTATCTTGGTTACCGTACCAACAGTTTTGGATGAGAGTCCCGCGGCGCTGGTGGAGATTGTATTGATCCTCCTGATCCGTGCGTGGGTCGTTGGTTTGAATGTCATGGGTTTGGCATTGGGCTTTGTTTTCTGGGTGAAGGTGTTTGCGCCGGATTGCAGTGACTTGCCGATAAACGCAGAACCTGCAACCAACAGGCGCGAGGCGGTGGCAGATGTCTGAACAATGGTGGACTTTGCATAGGCCGGGTGTCTCGCGGTGTGCAGATATTCTTCAGACATATTCTGAACTCTGATCTTGTTACCTTGTCCCTCGGAGGGGAGCTGGATTTCAACTGGATCTATTTTTTGCAGCTCTGGTTGGCAAAAATTATTACCAGAATTGTGTAGGGTGAGATTGGACATACTCTTGGAGCCGTGTTTCACATCTGCAGCCTCCACGACGTTGAAGCCATCTGTCAACTCTCCAACCACGCTTCCATTCTCCTCGTCAACCAGCACGATTTGACCGGACTTGGGTTTCACCGTCTCATTCTTGTTGTCACTCCCGGTTCCAACGTATCCTTCACCAGGAGCATATGTGGCAGGGTTATATGTAGCAAAGTTTGGGGGGGAAGACCGCTCGAGGAAGGCCGTACACTGAGCGAGAATAGTTTCAAAGGTGTCCACGTCCTCCTGGGACACTTCATCTGGACCATTGCCGATTGGAGGAAATTGGATACGCGTGAATGCCCCAGCTTCGGGTCCCAGATCCCAGCGTGGGATGAGGTAGCTGTCGGGTGGCTGGTGGTATATCTGAGTTGTTGCGGGTAAAGGCAGATCCAACTCGGGGGGGAGGTGCAGATGGAGGTAGAAGTCGTCTTCTGGAGGCTGGGAGGCTAATTCGGGATCCGTAGACGGGCATGAGGTTGGGACCATCAAAAGAGAGAGGGTTTGAGGGCCTGATGGGGTGAGTTCCGACTCCTCTCCATTTTGAATATGGAACGCTCGGATATTGTTGATGCTGAAAAACAGACGAGGATCGTAAGGTCCCCCAGACATTCTCGCGATCTAGAGTTGGCAAACTGAGTGTATCACTGAGTATTCAACAGATGTCAGTACGGATAATGGTTTATTGCGACACAATTCTCTTGCTCTCTGCATTTTTGAGAGGCGACATACGTAACCCAGACGACAGAGAGAAGTAAGACTGGTATTTCAACCGCAGTTCCGGTTGCTGTGAGAGGAAACCTTTGAAACCGAAGATGTAAGATAATCAAACCCAGCCGCACAAGGCCAGTGATAGGACTTCAAATTCCCAAAAAGAAAGAAAAATGAGATCGCAAGATAAAAAGGGCGGGAGACTGAAAGAATTATATCGCTCCTGACTGAGAAAGAAAGAGGGGGGGGGTGGTTGGTTTGTTTTTAGTAGTATGGAGGGGCATCAGCCACAAATCGCCGGGTACGGGGTACGCAACCCTGGTGTTGGCGCTTGGGACACTCCAATATGGTACTACCAGGGCTCTAGAGTCGACGATTGGCCAGCAGCTGGGAAGTTGCGTTGTTGAGGGCGGGATCTTTTTCACGGCGTCAAGTGGGCTTGGCGCAGGTTTATTGGCAGGACAGCGTGCAAGGGGATGACGTCACCGACACCCAATCGGAAAGTCCCTCGAATGCACTGCCACGGTTATGTGGCTGGTGAGACTCTCATATCAACTGCCCCCCATCATGTATGTAATTGCCGTGCAACAAGCCTTTCGTATGCAGCACGCAAGCGTTAATCACATGCAACATCGCTGAAAGCTCATCCTTTAACATCTCTCGTGACAGTTTAAGAGAGAAAGAGGAATTTTAAGGGTATTAATTTAATTGTTATAAATAGCTTAAGAATCTCTTTATATTATACAATTGTTCGGTTGACTAGTTAAAACTCAAAGTGAGAGATAATACCATGCAGCAGCTTGGGACGTTTCTTCGAAAACTGACCTTCTCCGGAAGCTTTGTAGAAGATTCGACTGCCCTATTGTTGTTGACACATTGACAAATATGAACACATCACATGGAAGAGAAAGAAGTGGGCCAGAGAGGTGGCGGATTACGTTTAGAGGAGACGAATACGCTGGTGATGCAAGCTGGTCTTGCAGGGCGTTGAATTCGTCCAGATAAGCAGATTTGTCTCTTGATTCAAAGTCTAGGCGCTGGTATACCCTCAAGAGGAAGCTTTCCATGCACACAGCTATGTTACGAGCCTATTCCGCTTTATCTTCCCATAGTTATAGTTCAATGAGAGGGTACTCATCCGAGTCGGTTGTGATCGACACTTGAACAGCATCGACGAAGGCCAATTAATACGGCTTCACTTTCTCTGCTATCCTGTTCAGATCGACTGGATAATTTTGATGGCTTTTGCGCTGCGTGTCAAGTTCCAAGTAAGTAGTTTAAAGCTGCGCTGCAAACACAAGTTCCTTCCGCAAATAGCCGAAGGTTCTAAGCCCCTCCCCCCATGTGACTTGTATGCCCTAAAAAGCCCACAGCCCCCCCCCGGAAACATCTCCCATTTGTTGAATCTCTCCATCTGTTCTTTTCCAAATTCCCAGGCCTCAAGATCTGACTACATCGGACTCGGACTGCGTTCTGTTCCCGTGCTTTGGCGTCTGAGCCCTTGACGACGGCGTTTCCTCGATATTATTAATAGTTATGGTTTCGGTTGCACGAGTTCTCCGGCCGCTATCAGGCCGGCCTGTGGCTTCCATTCTCTCCACAGCGACTCGAAAGACTGTGCCGTCAAGGACATTCCAGTGGTATGAAACCCGCTTCGAGTCAGAAGATTCTTGAATTCTCTCTGCTGTGCTCGTCAACACGTTTCTGTCCAGCCCAACGGGCTCTCTAATATGTTCTGTATATACCCTCCAGCAGCCGCTCGTTCTCCGCCACACCCCGCCACAATGATGTTGACATTACCTCCCTCACGCCTACTCCTATCACCCATCTCTCCGAGACCGAAGCCATGATGGCCGAATCCGTGGCCAAGTTTGCTCAGGAGCAAATTGGGCCCAAGGTCCGGGACATGGACGAAGCCGAAACCATGCACCCTGCCGTCATTGAGCAGCTATTCGAACAGGGACTCATGGGTGTGGAGATCCCAGAAGAATTTGGCGGAGCTGGCATGAATTTCACCTCTGCCATTGTCGGGATTGAGGAGCTAGCCCGTGTCGATCCCAGTGTCAGCGTTCTGTGCGATGTGCATAATACCCTCGTCAACACTGCCATTCTCAGATTCGCCGATGCAGCAACGAAGAAAAAATGGCTGCCAAAGCTGGCCACGGACACTGTTGGATCTTTCTGCTTGTCAGAACCGGCCTCGGGATCCGATGCGTTTGCCCTTCAAACCAAAGCGGTGAAGACTAGCTCTGGATATAAGATCAGTGGCTCGAAAATGTGGATCACAAACTCGATGGAGGCCGGTTTCTTCATCGTGTTTGCAAACCTTGATCCCAGCAAGGGATACAAGGGCATTACCGCATTTATTGTTGAAAAGGGTACGCCCGGGTTTAGCATCGCGAAGAAGGAGAAGAAGCTGGGTATCCGGGCTAGCAGCACTTGCGTCCTCAACTTTGACGACGTTGAAATCTCCAAGGAAAACCTTATCGGAGTGGAGGGTCAGGGATACAAATATGCCATTAACCTATTGAACGAGGGCCGCATTGGTATCGCAGCCCAAATGACAGGTCTCGCCCTGGGCGCCTGGGAAAATGCTGCTAAGTAGGTTTTTGTTATGCAGCCATCATTTGTGGTGAAACGAAACTGACAAAGCATTTCAATTTTTTTAATTTTTATTTTTTTTGAAAAAACAGATATATTTGGAACGACCGCCGCCAATTCGGGCAACTCATCGGTGAATTCCAAGGCATGCAACATCAAGTAGCGCAAGCTTACACTGAAATTGCCGCTGCTCGTGCTCTCGTCTTCAATGCCGCCCGCAAGAAGGAAGCTGGCCAGGACTTCGTGCAGGATGCTGCCATGGCTAAACTTTATGCGTCCCAGGTTGCTGGCCGGGTTTCAGGCTCCGCGGTTGAGTGGATGGGTGGCATGGGCTTTGTCCGTGAGGGCATTGCCGAGAAGATGTTCAGAGACAGCAAGATCGGTGCCATCTATGAGGGCACGAGTAATATCCAGCTTCAAACGATTGCGAAGTTGCTGCAGAAGCAGTATACTCAATAAACGTAGTCTGATAAAGCTAAGAAAAAGAAAAGAAACTGTACCGGTTTTATGCAGGTACATGTGTTGTAAAATACTTCTTTAGAGAAGAAGGCTGTAAATTTGTTCCTAGAAATAAAATGCTTTTGAGTTATTCCACATATTATACTTCATAAGGGTACAATCGCTAGAAACACCTTTGCCCAAGGGCTATGGAACTAACAACAACCTCAACTACGCTACATCAATATGATCACTGCGTAAGATTTAAGGAGAGAAAGACCTCACACAAAGAATACTACTACATACAAAAAGTGCAAAATTAATGTTTGTCATTTAAGACTTATCTCTCATCCCCACACACACACAAAAAAAAAAAAAAAAAAAAAAAAATAAGAGATGTTGACCTCCTTTTTGTCTATCCCCCCTCCAGCTCGCACCAATCCAAGATTCATGTACACCAACTTCTTTCAAAATTGAAACTTCCTACTTCCCATTTCGATCCGGGGCACTTGCCGCGCTATTCAGCGGTTACTCCTTTTACCGCTGATTGACCATATCCGCCAGGGTCGGGAAGCAAATCATGTTTCCTTCCGGCACTAGCAACCTAGTTCCTGGTTCTCATTAGCTGGATATTCAAGTAAATAAGAGAGCCGACATTTAGAAAATGAAAGGGACATGAAAAACTGTCGAGGGGATACCGACGGAACACAATATGTACCTTTTCTGTTCGTTTTGCATCACATCCCTAAAAGAGTAGGAGAATGAATGCATAATGACGTGAAAGGAAGAGGATATACACTTCTTAGAAGAAGTTATTAACCGGCCTACCTCTTCTTCCTCACTTTCCACAAGTGCCCCCCCCCGCGGGGGTTCGTAGTCTGTATGAGGGCGATACGACGACCAGGCGCCAACATAGAACGCCAGTCCGGTAAGACGCAGTCCCCCTACTCCTCGCTTTTGAATAGGAGTATCGCAAAACAGCCCGCCAGCCATCCCTGAAAAGTGGAAATTAAGCCTTTCTCGGAGCTCTAGACTTGCTGGCTGCGGCTGCGGCGGCAGCTATTGACGCCGTTGACGACGTTGGCGTGAGATCTCTCGGTTGGGCACCCAAGCCGCCGCTGCCATTGCTGAAACGGGAACTGGCCCGTCTCATATATTTCTGTTGACACATGCCTAGGACGAGAAATGTGACGAGAAAGAACCACGAGCCAGATAGGATGCAGAGAATCTGGAGGGATCCCATGCTTGTTTTTTGCTTTTTCCCTTGTTCCCTGGTTCCCCCCCTCCTCCTTCCCAGTTGTTCTGTGGCCCTGCCCTTCCGATTTGCTTTGATGCTGACTTCTGCCCTTCTATTAGGGACCGGTTCCTGGTATACAGGTGGGGGAACTAAAAAAGGGGAGGACTTTTGATTTAAAGATCGTATGCTGGACGACTGGGTGAATGGACGGTTTCCCACGTGTCTCCGCGTTTGTGGAGTATTAGACGATTATTGCCGGAAGAGCTAAGGAAAATTGTGGTCCACGGTGGTGACGAGTGTCGGATTTTGCCTTTGAGTAAGCAGGCTCTCTATCAACATCCACAAATATCAAAGCGGCCCAGGAAAGAGAGGCTAAAGGAAGCACAAGAAGAAGATATGCCGGCAATTTTTGAATGCAGTCAGCAAGGCCACATAAAAGGAAAATTAAACTAGAAAAAATAAAAATAAAATAAATAACATCACGCATTAAATTTCCGAAATGATTTTGTGCGCCGTCTTATCTTTTTTTATTTATTTATTTTTATTTTTATTTTGGCTTCGCACAAGGATGAAGGGAGTAAGCGCCTGATTGGCCTGTCGCGGGGTGTTACGCGCCTTTCCCCGTTCTTTTCAGCTTCCTTTTTCTTTTGCCGCTGTACGTTGGTTTGTCAGATTATGGCCTGAAAGGGCCTGAAGAATCAAACCATCGTTGGGAGAGATAGGTCGGAGTGTTGCGCAGAAGCCCCCTGGAGAAAGGTCCTGTAAAACAATGCTGTTATACGTTCGTGGGTATCATCGTAGTTCTTTATCAGCTACGCCGCGATCGCCTGTTGTTCGCGGGGAAGACCAGTTGATCTTTGGATCCCAGCCAAGGGAAGAGAAAATTGGTGATAGCGATGACAAGCGGATTCTTTAGTTTTGGCTGTGAGGTGCTAGTATTAATTTCTGCGCTGACAACAGTTTCGAGATGCTTCCGTTAACGATCAACAGGAGAACATAAGTCCATGCAAGTACAAGGGAAAATAATCCTCGCAACGCATTAGCTTATTTTCCCACCTAGGCAGAATATATCAGCCGTCAGGACAGCCCACAGCCGCGTCCTGATCAACTAAACCCCTGATTTATCTGGAGCTTGGGGGGTAGCGCGGTTCGCTAAGCAGGCCTCGCGATGCCTGATTCCTCTCTACCCTGGCTGACATTTCTGCATACAGCGTCAGCATTGACCAAGAATTGGCCATATTATAGAGGCAACCCATTATAAAAACCAATACCGGGGTATGTTAGTTAATGTTGAAAGCAAATTTCAACCGGCTAGCTGCTCCCGTGAAAGTGAAAAACTGCCAACAAGGGTTTAGCTGGTAAAGTTTACAATTTCGAGATGCAACCTAAAAGTATCAAGTCTTTAGTAAATAGTGCACTTTTCGCGGGCAGTCTGGCTCTTTTGTATCGAAGCTCGCTCTGGTTGTATTTACCGCTGGACACTTCTTTGGTCCCAGTTCCGATGGGGTGGTGAGAAACCTCCCTCCTCTCCTCCCGTTCCGACAACAGGCACTGCCGTTTGTTCCGCGACCGATTCCATCTACCCCTCTTTACTAATGGTAACGAGAGGAACTATCTGCTGAGTGGCATACGCCCAAACCGGGATCCACGTCCTTTTGCCCCCCAATAAGTAGCTCTAGAGTGACGAAAGTGGCGCTGACAGCATCACATTCTAGCAATTCCGTTCCAGATCCTGAGTGACTTGGGTTTCCGTATTTTATGGACTTTAACGCCAACTTGAAGCTTTGAGTACGAGAGGTTTGAGTTCAGGAGTGTCGGAATGTTAATACAAACTTGTCACTGTTTGATTCAACATTGATCACATATTTGAACTCCAGCCACATTTTACTTTCTATCTAACATGTTTCTATCCTTTTTTTCTTTTTCTTTTTTTTTTTTTTTTTGGTGCCCATTGGGTTCTGTTTGCTCTTACAGTTTCACCTGCTTTCATAGTTCAGGAGGGTGTTGCTTTATGGCTCTGGTTTTCTGTTTACATTTCAAATTTCCTATATGCCCCCTACACTTTCTAATATGGCATCATACATGAGTTCTCGACAACGGCTCAAGTTTCCATTTAAATATGAGCCCTCCCCCTCCCCTTACCCCATCATTCACGGAAGAATATCTTCCTTCAAGCAGGATGATCCTCCTCCAACAGCTTCCCCGCAACCTCCAACGGCGCACATGGTTGGATAAACCCAACTATGGTAACCGGCTCCGTGGAACTAACATTCCTCCACTTATGCATCGTGGCCCTCTGCACAAAAACATCTCCTCTGTTCAAGAGTCTGGACTCGCCGGAATCCAGCACTAACTCGACACTTCCATCAACTATGACACCAATGTCGATGCTTATGGTGCGATACATCGGAGAGGTCCAACCTGGTTTCAGGACCACGCGCCTCATCGCAGTGCCGTTTTCAAGGACGATTCCTGGCGGAGTCGTCAGGTGCTTCTTGTAGATTTCGATATCTTTGTTGTCGGAGAGGGATGTTGGGAAGCCTTCAGTTGCGTAATCGACTGTGAGGGTAGCCTGTCCGCCAGGGAATTCTATTTCAGGGACTGTGGTGGGAACGGTGGTGTCAAAGACTGAGGCACCCGTGGCGTTGTGGGTGGTAATGAAGCGCTGTGCTGGCTGGGTTGACATTTTGGATCTTTCTTTCTTTCTTTCTTTCTCTCTTTCTTTCTTTCTTTCTTTCTTTCTTTTCTCTTGCTTTTGTCGTGTCCGTTTCTTTGTCCGATGGGTGATACACCGGATATGGGTATTTGGAGTTGTCGAATGTCAAGTGTGGTTACAGCCGGGGAAGTCCATGGATTTATAGCAGATTTGCAACCCATGCCCACCCCTCTTTCGGAGATATATCTCTGCCATCCAGGATCATTCAGTTATGATTTTGCACTAGGCGCTCTCTGTCAGGTCAGCTTGAATAATCGGGTGAGGGATATCAATGATGCTGTTGAGTTGTTCTACCAGTGATAATTGTAAATAAACATAAGCTCCTGAAATACCTCAATTTGTGAAAAGTTTCAAACCTTTTGGTGCTGCACTGTTAATGGAGGTATTATCTCCGGAGAGCGCCATTTCGGGGCTTCCTCCTGGGTTCTGGGTGATTCTAAATTTGTAAATTCTCTCCGAGCTCCTCTCCTTTACACAATCCATGTTGAAAGTCAGTGTTTTGTTTAGTATTTTAGGAATGAAGCTTGTGAGGTTGTCTTGGCGCTGATGTCAACGGCGACAAAACCAAAACCAAAAACCAAATAAAAAAAATTAAAAACATCCGCAGCTCAACGCGTGTCCTTAAGCCACGGCAACGTGGCATTTTTGATCTCAGCATATATGTTCTTCCACCACATATTACCATAAGTCTAAAAGCGGTTTGCCCTGGGCTACAATGTCGATTCAGTTGTAAATACGCATAATATCGACGTGGTTATCCCCTTGACCTCTTGACCACAATGCCCAAGGTTCAGACCTACAAAGAACGAAAGGAGGCCTTCGTGTCCAACCTTTCCGGCGGAGATATACTGGAGATTAATGCTGTGACTCTGGTCGCATCGGTGAGTCCGGATTGATTAAGATAGCTCAAATCTCGGAACTAATATACAATGTTCTCCTCCTCCCCAGTCCGCGGGGCTGCTTTGGTCTGTCCTCCAATCCCGCAAGTTCTTTTTCACGCCCTATGTGCCGGCCTCCGTAGTGGTAGACTTCCTCCTTAATGTCGCCGCAATCCTCTTCGCAACAACTCTATACTCATCAGTTCCTCTCCTCCTCAACGTCTTCCTCATCTTCCCTGCAATTTTGATATTGCTCGGCTCCAAAAAAAATCAGCCGACGCAGAAAGCCAAGCCTTCACCACCCGTAGGCCTGAAATCTTCGGCTGCTGTTGGGGGAGATGCGAAATCATCTTCATATAAACTCGAGGATATCCCTCTCCGCCCATTCCTCACTACGTACCGCGGCGCGATGATGATAGCAACATGCATGGCCATCCTTGCCGTTGACTTTCGCATATTTCCCCGGCGATTCGCAAAGGTCGAGAACTGGGGCACGTCCCTTATGGATCTGGGAGTGGGATCATTTGTCTTTTCTGGGGGTGTGGTGTCTGCGCGATCTATCTTAAGAGAACGGAGTTCCTCCTCGCGATTCAGATCGCTGCCAAAGAGACTCATGACCTCAGTCCGCCACATGATCCCACTTTTTGTCCTCGGTCTGATTCGACTTTACAGCGTAAAGGGGCTGAATTATGCGGAACACATCACGGAATATGGCGTGCATTGGAACTTTTTCTTTACATTGGCATTTCTGAATCCATTTGTGGAGATCTTCCATTCGCTAACGTCTATTATTCCGTCATATGAGGCGTTATCAATTCTCATAGCCATTGGATACCAGGTTGTGCTTGAGTCGACGGATTTGAAGAAATATATTCTAATATCGCCCCGAGGCCCATCCCTTCTTTCAAAAAATCGCGAGGGGGTATTCTCTCTTCTCGGATACCTAGCTATCTTCCTCGCCGGGCGCGCCACAGGTTTAAAAATCATGCCTCGTGAAACATCCCCTTCCAAGACTCCATACAAGGCGCGAAAAGCGCTTCTTATCCGACTAGCAATTTCGTCCATTATTGCGACCGTGCTCTTCGTATTTAACTCCTTCCATGTATTCGGTTTTGGAGCGGGCATTCCCGTTTCCAGGCGGCTAGCGAACATACCTTATATTCTCTGGGTTATAGCATTTAACAACGCACAACTATTCATTTTCTGTGTTTTTGAAACATTGTTTTTCCCGTCTGTGTATAAGGCGACTGACCAAGCGAGCGAGGAGGAACGGTGTCGTTTTGCAACGAGCACCATCATGAGTGCGTTTAATCGCAATGGGTTGCCAATTTTCTTAATTGCAAATCTCCTTACTGGTGCGGTGAATATGGGGATGAATACCTTGGATGCGAACAAGGCTATGTCGATGGCCGTCTTAGTCGCCTACGCGGCGATCTTGACAGGGATTGCGCTGGCAATGGATAGGTGGAATTTCAAGTCGAGATTTTGAAGGGAGAATGTAGGCATGAAATATATTCAATTGTATTATAATATGATAACTAACTAGTTATATGTCATTATATTACTTAAATTCAAATTCTATCATGCGAACCCCTGATTCTATCCCCTGATCAAAACCCGGAGAGTCCGAGCCGCTAATATTTCCCACCTTTAAAACATTGTCAGCATGCATATCCATGGATCCCTATTATTCTCCTCGAATTTGTCTGGAACAGAGTTTAAAAGCGGCGGTCTCGCCTCATAACAGCACCTTGGTAGCTAACTTGTAACAATTGTTGTTCCTTGAATCCATCGCAAGCCTCTTTCACGTGGACGCGCCAGAAAGGTTGGACGACATCCATCCATGAATGGATAACAACCTCTGAGAGCATCAATAACGCACATATGTGCGTGCATCTTGCCGATCAATCCACCAAAGACAAGATCGACAATCCCGCAAACATGACTGGAGCATCGGAGACTCACCGTCGGTTCTACAACTACCCAATAGCGCGCAAAGGCCCTAATGTGCCATTCAACTATCTAACTTCGTCCAACCCGCTCATTCGTGGCCGGGTGCTGGAAATAGCAGCTTCAGTGTCAGTAATATTGTTCCCCATTTCTGGAAAACTTTCCTATCTTCATTGTCCTACTCTCTCTTAGATAGTTACGAGCTACGGAGAAGGATATTAGGGCCGAGTGAGAAAGCCAATTCTTGTTGCTAAGTTTCCCCGCATAGGCTCCCATATTTTGGCTTCATTCAGAGCGCTCTCTGGCGAAATGCCGGATTCGACGTCGTCCGCAACATCCCCGGTTTGAATGACTATCAACCCCGATATGACCCTACCGTCACGCCTATTGCCAACCCCTCTGAGGCCAATCATTCGAGTTTGCCCTCCCCAATTCAGCGACGCGATGACCTGGGGTATTATACCTCCGCAGATTACCATGCGCTGTATTTGTCAGGCGAACTCACTCCAACTGCTGTTGTAGAAACTCTTTTACCCCTCATCTGTCGTGATACAACCCCTTGCGGCGAGTTCTCGATTGGCTTTCTTGAAACCAAGGCCGATATTGCTCGCGCTGCCGCCGCTGCTTCAACGGAGCGGTATAAAAATGGAAATCCATTGGGTCCTTTGGATGGGGTCCCTGTTGCAGTTAAAGACGAAGTTGATATTGAGGGATATAAGCGCACGTTGGGAAGCAAGTTGGATTTCACCGGAGCGGAGAATCGAACGGCCTGGTGCGTTAAGAAGTGGGAAGAGGCTGGTGCAGTTGTTATTGGGAAGACTTCCATGCATGAATTGGGACTTGGTGAGATAATATTACTTATGTGAAATATTCCATTCCGTCGAATTACGATGTTCGATAGCTAGTAGCTACTTTTTGCGTTATCCAAGTGCTGACTAGCTGAAACCCCCCGCAGACACCACAAACAACAACCCTAACGTCGGGACCCCGAGAAATCCTCACCATGAAGACTACTACACCGGTGGATCTTCAGGAGGCTCGGGATATGCTGTTGGGGCAGGTCTTGTACCCATCGCACTGGGTGCAGACGGCGGTGGCTCAATTCGCATCCCGGCCTCCTTTTGCGGTATCTACGGCCTTAAACCTTCCCATGGCCGAGTTTCCGGGCATCCAACAGTTGGCATAGCTTCAACGACCGGTGTTATTGGCCCTATGGCATCTAATCTTGACGACCTGGCCTTATCATACCGCATCATGGCTGCCCCAGATCCTAGCTCGATGACATCTAGTTCCTTCCCTGATCCCCTTACCACCATTCCATCCAGTCAATCCTTATCATCTCGGCCCAAAGTAATCGGTGTATTCCCCGACTGGGTCAACCGCGCCGATCCCGCCGTCCTCGCCCTTTTCAACAAGGCCATCGACTACTACCGCAACAACCAAGGCTACACCGTAGTCGATATATCTATTCCACTGCTTCCTGAAGGCCAGAAAGCTCATGCTCTGACAATCCTAGCCGAAATTGAATCCTCCCTCTCAATGGACCAGATCAGCAAGCTCACCCCAGCCAACAGAATCATTATGGCAGTCGGTGGCAACCCAACCGGAGCCCGGGATTTCCTCGCAGCCCAAAAGCTTCGAAATCTTCTCATGTCACATCTTGCGTTTCTATTCCAGCAACACCCGGGACTAATCATCGCTACCCCTACCACGCCCCTACCCGGTTGGAAAATACTTAAAGGCAAGGCTGACCTCGCAAGAGGTGTGAGTGATGCGGATTCCAGCTCACGCTCAATGGAGTATGTCTTCTTGGCTAACTTCACGGGCTGTCCCTCTATTTCGCGTCCCATGGGACTTATAGACGGACCCAATGTACCAGCCGGCCTCATGGGAATGAGTGAATGGGGAAGCGAAGAGATGCTGATTGAATGGGCGAGAGATGGGGAGGGGATGCTAAATTTTGATGCTGCTGCTACAGATGCGAGCACGGCTCCTACACGTAAGGGAGGATTGAAGGCCCCGGACACGACACAGGGTGGTAAGTGGGTTGATGTTATTGGGAAAATCCGAGATTCTGGGGTGTGAAATGGCGAATCTGTTTTTCCAAGGTTATTTTCTGTTTCTAAGTTTTCTTACTCCCAACTTCTTTTTTTTATTTTTATTTTGTTCTTCTGTGATTATTTCCCACGCAAGATACAAACTCGTAAGTGAAACCGTGGGGATATGCGCTGCAGCTGATTGCGTTATGAATGTGTCATTAGGTGCTCTATGCCTCAATTTCTTTCTTTTTTGTTAGCGGTCTCCCTCACTTTCTTCAAACAGCAAACAGCAAACACAAAGAGACGATATGATGCCAACTATATCATATTTAAGAGAATTCGTGCCAATCCAATTTTCTAAGCATCTTTGTGCACTAAATGACAAGGAACAAGGCGAAGGGGGGTCCGCTGAAAATGATGTGAAATCCCAAGTTATAACAATATATAATGTTCTATTATGATGTTTCAAGTGTAATGAACTGTAGACAACCCCAGTGATCTATATCCTGGCACATTCTTTTGCGTGTCAGAGGGAGCTACAAACCGACTATATATTGGGTAGGAGTTTTTGAAGATAGATTTGGTTTGATCTTCATTGCCCTTCAGAGGGACAAAGCAGGTGAAGGCGCCGGCGGGCTACCTGGATAAGCAAGACTTGCCGGGCAAGAATTGGTTCAACAAAGATAGGCAGTTTCTGGATGAGATCGCATTGTCTTTAGCATAGATCCTGATAAAATCCTCTGTTACGCAAAATGAGTATAAAAAGCGTCGCACGCTCATATTTCGATTCGATCATCATCAGTGACATAACCGCTCAAGAAGTCATATTACTGCACCAAAGACGGCATAAAAATCAGTGGTATTATGTCATACCGCAACATTCAAACCATTATGAATAGAATAAGCCACAATAACAATTAGGTCAGAACCCACGAGGGCAAGAGACAAGCATAGCGGACCGCACCGACAGCCAACATACCGACGGGCAGCATGGAAGGCCGACGAGCGAAAAAATCTCCAGAAGCTACACCGCAAGCAGAGCCTTGAGTAAACAGTCAGCCGAACACAGATAGCTCAATTGCAGCACCAAGGAATTGTAAACCAGGTTCTCAAGAGCAATGGGAAAACCGCGTCCGTCATCGGGACGGCTCTGAACGCACATATGCAGGATCCAGTGCGTGGTGACCAATTGCCAAAGGTCGCTACAGAGGAAATAATCTCAGCACAGAGCGCCCAGAGGCATCAAGAGCTGACGGAATTCTTCTCATCAAAACCCAACCTGGGTTGCAACGGTAGCATGGCCTTCCCCGCGATCTCATTCCTAAAGAGCTTATGGAGCAATAGAGGCACGGTAGAACGTGGTCACGGCTCTCCGTTTTCTGAGCAGCAGGGAATCAATACGGACTAGATCACTCATGGGGAATTTACAAATGGAGCATCGGTAGGCACCAACGGAAACCAGCAATCCGGCTCTCCTGATGAACAGCAGAGAGGAGTGAAAGAGGGAGGGCCCGTGGTTAAGATAGTATTCAAGGATCCAGGAAGTCATCTGAGTGTGTGGTAATGCAAAGGGGGCGGATCCCGTGAAATGGGTGGTTGGTCGTCAAATGAATTTTTTTCAAGTCTGGTATTTAGTTATGTTATCCAAACCATTCTCGGTAGGACGGGTCAATCCACTCTTTCCACAGTTGAAGATATCATGATCTGGTTAACAGTAGTCAGCATATTCAGTTTCGAGTTTACGAAAGGATTTATTGCTTTTGAGCAGAATTGAGATATTGCGGGAGCTAGTGCTTCTGTTGGCAGGTTGTTCATATCTGCAATCTTCTGCAAAGATTTCACGCTCATTTGGAGTAATTTGTGCGCCCAAGTACCAGGTCTAAAGCTCTCATCACAGTTTTGGCCTGAGAGAAATGCGATCCATTGTATGTCCATCCTCTTCGAATGATTCCGTAAATTGCTAACAGCATGCCTTTGGCAGGGCATACATACCCCAGAAATGAATTTAATGCCTTTGATGTAAGTGAGTGACGGAGGCAGGAAGGAGACTTTGGAGTAGAGAGCACATCCATCCAAGATCGATGCCAAAATCTTTGCCAACATGTCAGCCATCATGGAGCGATTGGTAAGTAAAATCATGAAAGAAGCGGTTCGAATGCGGTCTCTTAACGAGGGAGAGCACGATTCTTGTCATACCTTGATAAAGTTGTATGAGGCATAATGAATGGATTAAAAAAAGGAGAGCAAATGAGCGTCATCAGGATCCGCCTTCGATAAAAAATACTACGACCCCCCATCAAAGATTATATCTCGGCGGGAAAAGCAGAAATTTCCAAATGGCTTCGTATCTTCTGCGTAAAACCAGAAAGCAACATAAGAGACCGGAAATACTCCACACCAATTTCATAATACATAAGCCGGGAACCTCGGGGAACCAACAGGGTTAAAATAAACAGAGAAGAAATAAACACATCCCTGGATATCAAATCAACCCATCAAAAATCGAATTTTCGCAAATATAACAAACCGACCATCACCATGGACCTAAGACAACGTGTAAAAGAAAATCCCAAATCAAACAAAAAAAGCCTCCCCAGACATCGGAGCAAAAAATTCACATCCCAACCCTGCATCCTCATTATACGCCCGTAGTTCTTCCAATATCTGCTGTCGCGGATGAGTTCCATCAGCCAACGAATCCTTGACATGGATAATATAAACTCCAAGACCAGACAGGGGTTTCTGCACCGACCAACTCGACCTTCTGCATTTCACGGACTCGCCCATTGAGCTTGACTCTGGCGTAACCCTATCATCATCCATAGGAGACCCAGATGGTGGCGGTGTGGTGGATTGTCCGTGGGCCGTCTTGTGTGCTGTTAGGGGGAGCGGTTGATCACCGGAACTGGATTGTCGAGTCCTCCTTCTCGAGCATGAGGTGGGGGAACTCGTTCGTCGACCTTGAGAGAAGGGATTGACGGATCTAGGGCTGCTGAGGTCATCATCGGGAACCACAACGGAGCCCGGCCGCTTGCGCTTCCGCGCCACGACGGTTTCGTAATTGGATTTTGTTGCCTCAATGACTCTGCTGGCTAGCGCCTCGAGCTCCGCGATGAGGTGGCGCGGGCACAAGTGACCGTATAGATAGTTGTCATCGACGGAATCCGGAAACGAGCATTCGACAAAGATAGCCCGAAGTGTTCCGTTGGCGAGCTTGGGAGCGGCGATATCCCATACCTTACCATTGCGGGGTTCGAGGGATAAGCTGTCTGGTTCGATGTCGCCAAATACGATGATTTCGGTACCGGAGTAGTCGTCGCGGAGGAAGAAGGCGGAGCTTTCGACGGTGGCTATGGTCATATCTTTGCCGTTGGAGTTACCACTGCTAAGAACTTGATGGGTTGGAGTATATGATCGCCTTTAAAACGTGATGGTTTAGCATATGACTTCGCGTTACTAGACAGAAAACGCAGTGATTAGGGAACTTACGTGAGGTCTTGCGTGTCTATCGATACTCTCCTGGAAGGAAGCAATACAGGGTCTGTAGTGAATATCGTACTCTCAGCTCGATGGTGTTTGCCAGTTTCCGGATGATACCGTTGCCTGCAACGACCGTGACTGACGCTCAAACACTTGGTAACTATCCCTTCACAAGCCCTGACATAGCCACGGCCGTCTCCACGGCCCAGCCTTGGGTTTCCCCCGTCAACGAGTCGCTGGTAAGTGACCAGGCCAGCACCGCCATCCTCATCAGACAGGTTTGGCCAGGTAATATCATTGAAAATGTGATTCTTGATAGCAGCAATGGTGGAAGGGAGGGCACCGACTATTTTGGGATTCGATTGGGCCTCCACTAGCGGCGTATTCATGGCTAGGCCTGCGATATGGTCCAGATGCGGATGTGTGATGAAAATGGACGAAATGATTTCGCGAAATATATAGGCTGCATTGGCTCCGGCGGTAAGGTTGGGAAGTCTGAGACCCGCAAAAGGTCCATCTATAATGCGCATTTTAACATCTGTTGATCCTTCAACTTTGACGTAATTCGAGGTCTCGAGCACTCGGATTATGCCCCCCAGCAGAGTGCCCGCATCTATGGCGATAATGGAGCCCGCAGACCAGTTCGTAGCGGTCGAACGAACTAACAACCCTGTGATTACGTCTTCTCGCGGTCCGCCTGTAGCACCCTGTAAATGCATATACAATCAGTATTAATTCGCAAATGCCCATACTACCAATGAAGAATAAAAGTAGCAGCAGAGTAAACATAGAAAACTTACCAGAACAATGACATGAAAAGCGCCTTTCTGCCTGTCCTCCACAATCCTTGACCGTCTCGTCCTCCGTCCCCGACCGCCATCACGATGCATTGCACGGGATTGGCTTTTCCTACAAGAACCGCGAACTTCGGGGAATCATGCAAACATTAAAAATCCCTATCCTCCAAAATGCAAATTGCAGAGCCCTCGCCTCTCACTGCCACCAGAAGGACCGAGAGAGATAATCAGGCTGCACAACCGCGTAAAAAATAAACTCTTCCCTGAAAGTAGTCTTCGAGGAGGTATCTGAATGCTCTCCAAGGCAAACAAAACCCCCTTCTCCCCCCTCCCAAATATCCTACTTTTCACGTTTTCGCGGGAGGAGAATTCAAAGATCTTCCTATCTAATCGTTGTCGCCGGTGATATTCGCCTCACTTCCTCCAGTCCAACCCTTCAGAGACGATATCGACAAGAGGTGATGGGACGCAGGGTGCGAGAACAGTGTTGCCGTCGCTCGCCACACCATGTATCCTTGCCAGCTGGTGCAAGGATATTTTAAAGACGAGAGGAAAACTGCGCGGGGGCTATTCGTTTCTTACGTTCCTTTTTATATATATTCCCTGCCGACTCGCGATGTTGACGACGAGGGCTCAGAATTGGAACGAAAGGGAGACCGTAAGGGAGTCGCTCGTCTGGTCTCGTCTCGTCGGTCGGTCCCGTCGTCTGGTTCTCCGGGATTTAGTTTAACTAATAACCTAGTTATTCAAAAGTTTAGGGCTATGTTTCTCCGACTTCCCACACAGATCTTGCCAATCGCAGTCTATCTATTTCCTGCGGTGCGGAATATTTCGCGGTGAGTTTGCTTTGTTATATATGTATATATATGCATGAAACTTGTTCGATATCTCCCAAGGCTCGCCGCTCGAGCCCTGGACGTTGATTAGGCCTGTTCCTGGCAAAGTTCGGATGGCTTTACCTCATGGGGCAAGTTGTAACGGAGTATTTCGTCGTTATATCTCACGCGGATAATTTAGCGTTTTGAGTTCAAATTTTGGCCGTGACGAATTTAATGACTTCTTCTTTAACTACTTCTGATTGGATTTGAGGAATCAACCTTGAAATATGCGCAATGCCGGCTCTGAGAGAAATGGGAGACCAGGCGCAGGGACTAGGGGAGATTATATATCCATGGGCATCCCTATTATCATTTCTAAAACCAACAGAGGGGGGAAAACGCAAGGTTGAAGACTTGGAATTGATACGTATTTTTCTTCCTAGTTGTTGTCTATGCCACTTGCGCTCGAATTGCAGCTTGCCAACTAACTTTTTGTCCTTGTAAGGCGGAGGATTGGATCTTGTCGATCTCTGGATATCGCCGAGCCAGGAGATTCGCTAAAGTCGTCAAGTTAGACCGCGATCGAGGCCATTTATCCACGCTACCTTTCTACCTTGACTAGTTGATGACACGCTTAATAAAAATCCCTCCTGCAGAGGCAGGTGGGTAAGAGGGAGCAAAAATGCGCGAAGCAAAAGATCCAATCATCGGTGGGAACATATATCCCGGGCTATTATTAACGAGTAGCTCTTCTCTCCACTCGCATTTTCTTGCCCCCCCAGGCTTGCCAAGCTACCAGGCGACTACGTTCAAAAAACCCAAGAAAAATGGAATCCCAAAGAGCTGGTCGAGATGTATTTATTTCGTATTATCTATAGTGGCTAGAGCTTCGATTTTGCCTTTTTTGCAGTTACATACAGTCCTTCCTGTATGTATATAAACTCACCAGCCTAGTTACCTGGATACGTAGCTATTAAACTTACTGGAGTAACTGCATGCGCACATGAATGAGAATGTTTGGAAGTGATCACAACGCAATAGCTAAGCGTCGGCGATGGGGTTGCATGTGTCGGTGGAGATAAGATGCGCCACTGGCTGGGCCCTGTTAGGCTGAATTCAAACAAAGCGCAGATGTATTTGTTTCTCTTCTTAAAAATAAGCACTTCCGGTTGGTTGGTCGTTGGGTTCTGGAAGGTTGGAAGGTTGAGCGGTATTTTGTGATGATGCGCCCGCTAGGGATGCGATGCGGGATATGTAGGGATGGGATTATATGATGATACGATGCATGTGAGCGACGTGGATAGAAGGTATAATTTGGAGGGCATTAATGTAATGGATGCATTCATCGGGGGGGAATGGGCCGGAGATACCTTTGTCTTGTGCCAACGTAGGGATGCGAGAAAGGATGAAGATATCAAATTTCTACATTTACAAACGTGAACCATCTGGGCTCTCTTGACGGCTCGTTTCAATGTGTGTACAAAAATCTTCTTGCTGATCGAACGTAACAAAAAACGGAAAAATGAACGGAACAGAAAAACGAAAGGAGCTGTGGTGGTATATGTATGATGCTACATATAAACGAACAATGCATAAAGTAAGAAAACTTTGTACAGAATTGACTTGTTTTGCGTCCGGCAAAAGAAAAAAGTTACCACCTGTTAGCCACATTCTTGGTTCTTGATTCCACCCATCCACCCACCCATCCATCCATCCATATCCATGCCACTCCAAATCCTACATGTAGCTCATGATTTTTCGTAATAAAAAGAATAAAGAGAAATGAACATATTGCAAGAAGCCAAACGCATTCCTCCCACTTTGATTACTCCTTAGCGATGTTATTTATTAAGGAAATGAAACCTCCCACGCTGAATTCAACAGAGGGGAAAAGGCAAACGATGAATAGCAAGGAGCTTGGACGATAGGGAAATATAGGCATATAAGAGGGGTTGTTTGCAGTTGTTCAGCCGGGCCACCGTCAACTAGCAAAGAAAAAGTAAAGGAAAAAAACAACCTTTAAACGCCTCCCAAACCGTGATCGCTAAATTGACAAAGAAGAGAATAAAGTAGAAAGGAAAACAAGGCCAAAGAAAAGGTGTTCGTCCGAAATATGACGAGGAAAAGGCCGTGAGAATGCTGAGAGGTAAATAAAGATATTGGAGACGGAAGACAGGGAGAGATAGTTTCAGAGGTGGTGGGTGAACTTCTTTGGCAGCGTATCTTTATCACTGACCCTGCCTTGGAATCCCATCATTCCTCATGGCTGCATCGTAGCTTGGGATCGGTGGACTTCTGGAGTTGGGTGGAGGAGTTGACGGGCTTGGTTGCTCGCTGTCCTCGCTGTGGGGTGGACAATGTAGCGGGCTAGAATATTCCGGAGGTGGAACCACCGCATTCCCATCAGTGGATGGTGGTAGCGTTCCACCATCCTGCTCATGTGCCACATTTGGCAAATTTGGCACACCACTCGACCCTTCCCCAACATCTGACTGAGATGGTATGTGCGCAAGTTGAGCGAGAGAAATGTCCGTAGGCGATTGAACGGGACCGGGACTCATGGGGTATGTCATCCTGATTGTCCCACTACGTGTTCGTGATTGTCCCGTCTCGTGCTGCCACCACTGGGTGGGATGGTGGCCTTCACGGCCAGTCTCGAGAAGGATGCTGCCCTGCTCACTTCCGTACGGTGGCGGAGGAGCAAGGGAACCCGTCATCGGTGCGAGACCCCATTTTTTGACATTGGCTTCGATGAAGACGAAACCCATCTGGCCAAAGTTCACATGCACTGTGCAGGGGCCATTGGCTCCGACGGTGGGGAAGAAGTTTTGAGATTTTAGTCCATGGGCAGCGTCATCGAGTTTCTTACCGTTGCGGGTGAAGAAGATGGTCCCGGTGCGCGGGCGATAACCCACACCAATTACATCCCCTTGAACGTATTCGGGCCCGTAACCGGCAGGGGTAAAAGGTTGATTGTAGCGGCGATGTCCTGTAGACAAGTAGGCGACGGATGTCTTATGAAAGCCTATTAATACGTAGGTGCGTTAGCCAAAAATAAATTTACCATAGTCCCCAGAAATTGAAATCGTACCAGGTAGACGGAATAGAGGGTATGGTTTCGTCGTCATGCCAATGCTAATAAGGCTAGTTTCTGGTTTGTCGTATATCTTAGCTTCCCAATAGTAGACCTCGTTCTGCTTGGGAACGGGCAGGTTGCTTTGGACACTACATTCGGAATCAAAGAACTCGATTTCGGTCCGAGCCTCAACAAAGCAGTTAGCAATCTCGAGTTCCGGTTCAAATTCCCATGCAGAAACACCCTTTTCTTGGATGGCTAAGAATTGTGAAAGTGATATATCGGTTTGCATCGTCTCAGGTGGGTTCGCTTGAATGAAGGCTAGAAATATGGTATCACACGTCAGATGTAAAGGTCCAATTTTCTGAAACGAAAAAGACAAAGGCAAGACAACGGGGGACTGAGAATATAGAAACACCATATCCTCCAAAACAATAAAAAAGAATGCGCACCTTTAGCCCTCAGATATTCCGCCTGCTGTAACTCATCCATCGACTCCAGCGCCTCAGCCTCCTCCTGTGCAAAGGCCTGTTCATCGTCATATTCACCAGGCCTCCCTATCCGATCGAGAAGAACGCGCCCTTGTTGGGTATATCGGAAAAAGAAAAATATAGCAAGCACAGCGATTGCGACACTAGCGGAACCAAAGGCAGAGAGAATCCCGATTAAGATACCCTTGCCGGTGGAACCGACATTCCCCCGGAACCCAACCATGACATCTCCGTGGTACCGCGCAGATGGGGCTATGTGGCTGTCTGAAAGTGACTGAGTAGTCGTATGGATGGGTAGATGGAGGTCCAGGGATGTCGAGTGATCAGGAGGTTTGATTGCAGAGAGTACCGATGGGGTGACGTGGGCGTGGGCGATGGAGGTGGTGAGTGTAGACTGTGGCAGGACGCCGCCCTCACGACTTGGCATCATTCATTGAAGAGGGACGAGGGGATGCCAATGCCGATCACTTACAGTGCTATTAGTGAAGACAGCAAAAATAGTACTGCCTGGATGACACGGGTAAGGGTACGCTGAACTAATAGGAACCAGATGGTGGAGAAGAGAAGAAGAGGAATGAAGAATAAGCAGAAGTAGGAGAAAAAAGTGGAGGTTGGAAGTTGAGGGATGGGTTGATGGTTGCTGGGCTATGCTGGGCTGGAAGCCTCGGTGAGGGGCGAGTCTGACTAAGACCCACAACGAACTCCTAAAATAAACCACCGCTAGAGAGGAATAGCGAATTCAATCTCTTTTTGCCTTTGTTTATTTATTATTTATTTGTACGGAATAGTTTTAGATGCTACCTTTCAGTTTTTCTTTTATCTTCTGGATTTTGTATATAGTAAGTAATGCAAATTGACATGTTGCGAATGTCCCTGCGAATTCAGAGCAATATACGAAGTGGTTACGAATGACTGGTTGACCGTTATATCCAACGGATAGTTGCTGATTCTGATTCTATTGGTTGTGGATGTTCGAGGTTTACGATCTCAATGCAAGATATCGTTCAGGCATAACTCCGGCTGTGTGGATGTTGTTTGAGGTTTGCTGATCCTCCAAAAAGCTGTGCATTACATTGGTCAAGTTACCCCCTTGACTAAATAACCGTCGCAATTCCCATCCCAATCCATATTTCTCCCTATAATTGTTCATACCCTGTGATGTTCACATAACATTTATGTAACTGAATATGTCGCATTATTTTCTTCCTAGTATGACTCAAAAAATTGCAATGATCTCAGAATTATGATCTTCTTCATGAAAGAAGCCATCACAACTATTTCTACTGTTTACAGAGCATTGCTTATGGCAATATTCTAGGCCTGTAACAAATATTGTTATGTCACCTATAGGTTGTGCTTCCACCCGAGTGAATCTCCCCAGATACCAAGTTTGACTTCCCATGCCGCCCCTAAAAAAAAAATTAAAAAAAATAATAAAGAAAGAAAGAAAGAAGGAAAGAAAGAAAGAAAAAAGAAAAAAAGAAAATAGAAAACCCAGATGGTATGCATGTGTTTGGCATAATTCCCTCATCGTGGGCTCCGTTGCTGTATTGAAGTTTCTCGACATAATCCAGGAAAAGCAGAAAATGTTTCTATTCAGGCTCCGGGTCTGTGGACCATGCAAGTTTTACGCCCATGGGGACCATCATACCATCACTGTGAAATTGATGAAAACCAACCTGCGGAGGCTGAGTCTTGGGTGTATGGTCCAATTCCACTGAATGAAGGCTATCGTTCACGCTGGGTTCGTGATTTGATCCGCAACTCTTCATACCAAAATTATCTAGAATCTCCACTTATGGACAAAATTTCAATAAGACATTCCCGCGATGGATTTGAATATACAGACAGAAGAGAGCGGGAGCTGGATCGAAGCCTGGCTCGTCCAATATACCTGAGATCTTATCAAGACTCTTAACGTGGAGCAGCTGAAATTTGCCTACGAGGGTAATATCTCCCCTGGCGGTAACACGAAGAGCTGAGATTAGGAAGTCTGCTGCATGTGAAGGCTCAATAGCCTGAACAGCAGGTGGACAATGGACCATGAAACCCATCCTGAAGGCGATAGATATATTCTGGGAATTAGAGCCAGAGAGAAGCTATGCTTGACGGAGGAACATGTTGACAAACTGCACGGGAACCTTGGGCTCGTCTTTTATTTTACTTATATTTTATTTTAAAAACATACATTTATCTGATAAGAACCCGTTCAAGAACCAACGTTCAGCGCCTCTTGTATAACAGGCAAAGTTCTGCAGGCTTTCATGGTAAATTGCAACTCAATAGGGACTGGATTCACTTTTTGATATCTGCACGGCCAGAGGATATATTTAGTATATGTTAGTTTCTTTTCAACTCTCCAATAGAGAGCGCCTGTTGAGCCCCAAAAGTTTGACGACAGGTAATTCATTGGTCAAAGTCTGTCAGATGCCGTTTTAAGCCCGTTGCCAACACGTGACGCTAAACTATGCTCCTCATAGACAACGTGAAACGTCGCGATGCCTACGAATTACTTACAACCTCGTTGGTGGTAACTTGTTCTCTGCTCTTCAGAATGCAAAAATCCAACACCTTCCGCTCTTTTTGAGCATTTCCCTTCTCTGGGTTTCATTTCCCTCCAGCGACACTGTCTCTACTCCTTCCGCACGTCTACTTCGCACTGCTTCATTTCCATCTCTCCGTACTTGTCTCCACATCTCTTTACGGTCTTGCTCCCTCATTCTATACGGATAACATGTGTTTCCGATGGACTTGCCACTGGAAGTCCTCCGGGCGCACTAAGGAGTTGTGACGCGACTGTCAGATTGGTTCAATTCCAGGTCATAAGCAAGAAATATGCTGATGCCACAATTATTGCCATCAATCGTGTCCAGTGTTTCTGGGATCGGTGAGTCTCATGCATATCAGATCCATGGTGGAATCTGCTGACATCTCTTGTGAAGGCACTGTACATTTATGGGTGTCGATGCTCAATCTCACCTTTCCGCATGTGTGGACGAGAACTTCCAGTCTATGCTGATTGGAGATTGAAAATTTTCAACATCACTAAACAGAGTACGATTACGATTCGGGTTGAATGGAAATTACTTCCACTGCTCTTCAAGAGGGAGACAGGTCGAAAGGTGGATGAATTGGTGGGCGAACTAATCAGCGAGGTAAAGCCCCATCCCAAAACTTCAGTCTCCTCTTTTCTAATTTTCGCTTTCAGTCCATCCTGGGCCCTCTGACTGATTTAGACCCGTCGATTGATTACAAACTGGTAGTGAGTATGGAAGGCCTCGTCGCCATTCTCCACTACCACTGGTGTCTGGATACCGCATCTGTTACCCGTGAACGATATACCTTGCAGAATCCACTGCTCATGTTTATCGCCTGCACCTCAACGCTGCCCGGAGCACTCATCGAAAGTGGTTGTCTGTGGTTCCAAATGATGCCCTCTGCTAAAGGATATTGTGCTGCGTGAGATCCATAACCCAGATCAACCGTACCGGCATGTACTTGTAATGGAAGTATCTCTTCTGTTCATGAAAGGGAAGCAGAACAAGACACAACCGTGAGCTCCACCGGTCTGGCATTTTGTTTTGCTTCAGAAAAGCCACTTGTACAGGACAGCCTATATTTTCCACGAACGAGATGGTAACCTCGCTCTTTGTCCTGTTTCCTGCTTCCTTCCCCTGGCACTGGATGATGATGCATTCGACGCAAGTGGCATCAAATCAGTTGAAGATGTGCTTCGCATTCGGGTTACGGCGCCTCGTAACAGCCTGCATCTGAAATGGAAACCCCACATGCTCAATATCCCCGTGTTCCATCGAGCCATACATGCCGCAGAGTGGATTCGGATCTCTCCAGATAATGCTCTGCCGTACGACGCATTCAACCAGTATCTCCAACGCCTGGAACGCAATTCGGGGTTCGAGCACAAGTTGACGCCGTACTGTATCAGGCGAGGAACCGCTAACAGGGTTGACAGTGAGTGTTATTATCGGCATCTCCACGCCTTCAAAAGTGTTCTGATGTTTCCATGCTCAGTTGTTGCAACCACAAGTGAGCGTAACCAGGTCATGGGCCAATCCCGAGCGGATATCTTCGAACGCTACTATATCTCAGCGTAAGTCAAGCGGGATGTCTAGTCCGCCTCTCCTGGCTGTCCACCCAAAGAGTCCATCATACAGGCCGTTGGACGGTTCAGCCTCACCCGTGACCCTTGTGCTTCAAAGGAATTGAGCAAAGAGCACAAACAAGCAATCGAGCAGGATCCGCAATTGATCAAACTGTGTGACCGACAGCGTTCAATGCAGAAGCTGATGGAGAGAAAATACGGTTCAGTCCTGAAAGCCAGGGGCAGTGAGCTGCATCGCTAGTACACTGAGCTTGGGGTGGAGATTAGGGCCAAATGACAGTTCCTCCACCGCGAAGAATTTGTCCACATGAGAGAGGATTTCTTTTCAACGATTGACACGATTGAACAGCTTATGGGATTTCCCCTTGGTGACGAGCTCGGGATTGAAGACAGGAAGAACGTCCAATTCGTTTTCAAAGAACGAGCGTGGTTCGCGCGGAACCTCTTCCGGTCCTCATATTGTAGAACTGAAAACCAGAGTGAGATTTATGCCTGCCTAGCGCAGACAATGCAAGATTGGGCTTCTCTCGGCAGCTTACCTGAAGAACCACGCAAAGGTAGAGCCACATCTGCAGACTCTGGAATTGAACTTACATTCGACGAGATCGTAGACGTGGACAACTTTCCGACCCAGTGTCCAGGCCCTCAGTGTCTTTTCTGTCTTGGAGATGACCAGCTTCCGCTTTCCGGGCGCACCTATTCCTTTTTACGTCCCGATCATCTCCGAAGACACATTCAAGATTGCCACTTCCGCTGCCTCGATTCAAACGCTCCTCTGTGGTGTTCTCACCCGTCATGCCTAGAGGTTCGAGATGGTGTGCAAGACTTTCAGGGGCACTTACTCAAATTCACGTGTACATTTGAAACGTACGTATTTATTATCTGCTCTGAACACTCGGTGTCAGTAGTGGAGGTTGTGGGGCCTGGTTGGGACGAGGATTGTTGGATAATTTCTACAGCAGGTCGGATTGGGATTATCCAGTGCGCTGCAGTGCAAGAGACTGGCAGCAACATGAGTGGCTATCGGTATGCAGACGGGTCAATAAAGAGGGTAAGCTTAACGCTGTGTATGGAAACTGTTCCTATGGATCGTGGGGACTAGTAGATGTCTTTTCCATTCCCTTAATGTTGGCTTAATAATTGAATAGGTGAATTGTTGTTAGAATTTTTGAAGGCTGTCATCTAAACTGTGTTTTACAGTCAACAGGCGTCTTGTGAATTGGGAGGGGACAATGATACATCTGTTGTAGATCACATAGACATCAGCACTGCATTTTGTCACCGTACTTCATTCTTTCTGAAGCAAGTCTCTGTTCGCGCTTCTTTTTAGAAGATGGTTGATAATTTTTACACGTCCTCTGAACTGTAGAAAAGTCTTTTTCTCATTCTTATTCTGCTCTTTCATATTTAATTACTGCTGAGCTATGTTGATGAATCAATCATATTATTCTTTCATACTATGTTGAAAAGAAGCATTAGTCATAATATTAATAATTGCATTTTCATTAAAACATCAGTTCTGAACTCTCATTGTGATCATTATAAATCAAAAAGCTTTCTTAAAACTTCAACTTGTATTCTAATTACCTTCACTTAAGATACTAATTAAACTTTTACTTCTAATGATTTCAAAATAATACATTCAAAAGTTCAAATTTTATTGAGAAATAAAAGATTATATTTATTATTGTATTTATTAAAAAAGAAAATTTCTAAAGAAATAAGATGAGAAAATATAAGTATATTATCTATCTTATTTTATTAGAATAGTAATCTGAATTAAAGTCAGAAAGCATAATAAGCAAATAGATATAAGTTATGATGGTGTTGTCTGAAAATAATAATAGCAACTACCTAGCAACCGCTTAGTAACTATTTAATTATATCATATGCACTTATTATTAGTGAGTATACTCTACTATAAAGAAAATATCACTGTAATAAAAATCTTCTAAAATCATTAATTTTTAAAAATTAATTAATGATCAACACTATGTCTATTTATAATATAAAAATTATCTATATACTCATTAAAGTCTATAGAATCTCTGATAAATTGAGATTTATTAATAATAATCATATTGTGATTGATTGATATTTAATTTGAGAACTTTGATTTCAACTAACTATAGAGCTTTATTTCTCTCTTTTATTAATTTTTTTTATAATATTTAATCTTATAATTAATATTGTTAATAGTGAAAATCTTCCCTATCTGCATTTGTCTATAGCTGTTTTTGATAATTTAATATCTATTTATTAAATAATGAGCAGAGAACTCATTCTTTCAATGTATATTCAATTATTATAGCTTAATTAAAGTTAAAATGATAATAAGATAACAGCTTCAATTCATCTATCTAACTAAGTACCTACGATGAGAATATTAAACTGAGAATTAGAATGAAGAATGAATAAGTAGTTAAATATATAGAAGTGATTGAGGATCAGATCAAATTAATCTTCAGAATAAATATAGTTAAGAATCAGATTGAATTAATATGAGCAATCAAATATAATTGAGATTAGAACAGATCAACCTTTAGAGTATAGTAAAGTGAATCAATTTAAATTCATATATAAATAGCTGCACTATAATATTACTCTATAATTTAAAAGAGTATTTGCCCTCAAGCAGCTATATTAAAAGTAAAAAAAAAAAATAAAATAAAAATTCATCAAGTTTATCAGTAGGCTAATTACTTTGATCATCATTTATTAGATTTTTATAGATTTTCTTCTATATCTCACTAATATCAGAGTTATTATCAGATCCTTGCTTATAAGCTAGAATTCTTTTAGCAGTTTGACAGTAATAAAGCTTAGAAGAATATAAATAAAAATAATAGTCTTCAACTTAATAATTATTAGATTTACAGTATATATAATAGCCTTTTTGATAAAGTGTGTGATGAGATATCATCTGAAAAATCAAGAGCATTAATTTGAATCTAATTGAGATTTATAGAATTATAATATTTATAATGATCAAATCAATCAAATCAAGTTAGATTATTGAAGTGAGTTGAGCTATCAAGTAATTAGAGTGAGTCAGGTACTTAATATGATTAGTTGAAAAGCATATAACAAGAATGAATAGAAGGAATTAGAAGTTAATTATAGAATAATATATAAAATTTTTTTATAAATCTGAGAGAGATTTAGCTGCTGAGCTAGATAATTCTGAATTGATATACTAATACTTTAATAAAATTGAGATATCTTTAAAGAATTTAACTAATTCTGAAAATACATCTAACTTAGTGATATAAACTGCCAGGAATTCAATCAAAATCTAGCAAGAAGAGCTTTATACAGGTTAAAATTAAAATTAAAATTGAAAGCTATTGATTTTTGATAAAGTTTCTTAATAGTACTTCTAAATTTTTAATGAAGAATAATAAAAAAAGCTTCTAAAATGAAGGTAAGAAAGATAAAAATTAATAAAAATTTTGAGTACTTAGCACAGTCACAATCAGTGAGGAGCTTACACAGATATAGATATAGATATAAATATAGATATAGATATAGACATAGATATAGATATAGATATAAACATAGATATAGAAATAGATTTGAGCATTCAACATAGTTACAATCACTAAAGTACTCATATATATATAAATATAAATATATAGATATAAACTTGCTACTCAATCTCCAAGGCTTTTTTGAGAAAGAGGAGTTTAGTATTATATTATAACTTAACTAAAGTTAGAATAATAACAAGACAACAGCTTCAATTTATCTATTTAACTAAACAGCTGTGATAAAAATACTAAATTAAAAATTAGAATGAAGAATGAATAAGTAGCTAAATATATAGAAGTGATTAAAGATTAAATCAGATCAATTTTCAAAGTAGATATAATTAAGAATCAGATTAGATCAATATGAATAATTAAATATGATTGAGATTGAAATAAATTAACCTTTAGAGTATAGTAGAGTAGATCAATTTTAATTTATATATAAGCAGCTATGCTGTAATATAATTCTATCTGTATCAGACTCTTCTTGAAGATCTTATTCAATTATTAGATCAGATCAGATATCAGAGTATTTTTTATCTATTATATAATCTTATCTACTGTTTTAATTTAATAATATAGTTTTATAACTGTATTTAAGAATATCAACTGAGAAGATATGATGAAGAGTCAGATCTCAGAAGATGAAGTAAAACTAAAGCATTCTTTATTATCATCATTATAAACAAGTTGCTTTAGACTATTATCTATATTATATTATATTAGATATTAAAAAATTATTTTTTATTTGATTAAATAGATTTTATAATTAGTAAATTCAGCTCTAATAATAATAGATTTAAAGATTTAATAATAATATTCTTTAAATTAATAAGAAATTATCTCTTATTATATTATTCATATTTATATTGAGTAGTCTCATTAACTACTTTTATATAATTATTACAACGTAGCTACTTGTATATGAATTAAGATTAATTTATACTGATCTCAATCATATTCAGTTGCTTATATTAATCTGATCTAATTCTCAATTATTTTACTTTAAAGATTGATCTAATCTAATTCTTAATCACCTTTATATATTCAACTGCTTATTCATTTTTTATTTTAATTCTCAGTTTAATATTCTCATTATAGCTGTTTAGTTAAATAAATGAATTAAAGCTGTTATTTTATTATCATTTTGATTATAGTTAAGCTATAATAATAATAATAATTATATTACTGAAAAGATATATCATTGAGAAATTGTAGTAAATAACTTATATAAAATGAAAATTTAAATATAATAATATCATAAAAATTATAATATTAAAAAAACTCTTTAGTAAAGTAAGATTTATAATTATTAAATAATAATAATTAATGATTGTCAATTTAATATTTTTTAATAATAGTATTAAAATATTTTATTTATTTAAATTCAATTTTCATCATTAGTAAAGCCAGTATCAGATATAATGATGATATAATTATTAGATAGATTGAAATATATATATCAATTTTCTTAATAAATTTTTAATTTTATTATAATTAACACCTTTAATATTATATTATTTATATTGATATATTTTATTACTATTATTAATTCATAAGAATATAATAATTATATAATAGAATTGATATTTTGATAGACAGTTATAACTCATTATTCATATTCTTCTTTTTCTTAAAAGTCAATCTCATCAAAATTATAAATATCATTAATATAAAACTTATATTGATTAGAAACAGATTTATAGTAGTTAAATTAGTTGATAATAAAGCTTATATTCTTATTTAATATTTATATTAAATTTATAAATGTTTACTTAATTTTTTTTATAATTTAGCAGATATTTAATGAATTAATACATTGATATCTTACTCATAATAGAAGAAGAAGTGTCAGAATTAATATGGTAATGACTTACTATTTGATTTGCAATAGTTTTGATATGTTTAACTGTAAAAGAATAATAGTTTTTATTCAGTTGATGAATTCACTTCTTGATTACTTTCTTCTGATTGCTACTTAATGTTTAATTGACTGAAGCTTTTATATTTCTTAATCTCTTTTTCTTAATGTATTTATATATATTTTTATATAAAATTTTAAATTCTCATACTACATCTGTAATTTTTAATTTTGATTTTGATTTTATGATATATAATATTATCTGAATCTAATCTTCTGAATATTTAATATTTTTAGATATAATAATAATAATTATTAATTTTTGAAGATTGATGATGAATATACAAGAAAGAGATTTTTATTACAGTAATATTTTCTTTACAGTGAAGCGCACTTATTATTGATGAGTGCGCGTAGCACGATTAATAGAAAAGGATATTGAAGAAGATTTTTCCCCAGACCTTTGTTTTGTAAATCGCCTTCGTATTCATTGAAAGAGCTTACCTAATTGACAATTCAAAACCCATTCATTTGCCATCAACTTAGATAATGAAGTCAAGAATTAAATTATCAAACTTCTGATCTAGTTATGAAGAATCTATCATTCAGCAAATGTTAATAAGAAGTTAAGAAAATATATTACTGCAACATATATCTAGAATTGATTAAACATTGTATATTTAAAAACAATTATCTACTCATTACTATAAA